TACCACTCTAATGGCAGAAAGTGAAGAGGAACTAAAGAGCCTCTTGATGCGGGTGAAGGAGGAGAGCGCAAAAGTTGGCTTGAAACTCAACATTAAGAAAACTAAGATCATGGCATCCGGTCCAGTCACTTCCTGGCAAAGAGATGGGGAAGAAATGGAGGTAGTGACAGATTTTATTTTCCTGGGCTCCAAGATCACCACAGATGGGGACTGCAGCCGAGATATTAAAAGGCACTTGCTCCTGGGGAGGAAAGCTATGGCAAATCTAGACAGCATACTAAAAAGCAGAGACATCACCCTGCCAACAAAAGTGCATATAGTCAAGGCGATGGTTTTCCCAGTTGCAATGTATGATGGCTATGAAAGCTGGACCATATGGAAGGCTGAGCACCAAAGGATTGAGGCCTTTGCATTGTGGTGCTGGAGGAGACTCCTGTGAGTCCCTTGGACCGCAAGGCGATCAAACTGGTCAGTCCTAAAGGAGATCAACCCTGACTGCTCTTTAGAAGGCCAGATCCTGAAGATGAAGCTCAAATACTTTGGCCACCTAATGAGAAGGAAGGACTCCCTGGAGAAGAGCCTGATGCTGGGAACAATAGATGGCAAAAGAAGGAGGGGATGGCAGAGAATGAGGTGGCTAGATGGAGTCGCTCAAGCAGTTGGCGTGAGCTTAAGTGGACTCCGGGGGATGGTGGAGGACAGGAAGGCCTGGAGGACTGTTGTCCATGGGGTCGCGATGGGTCGGACACGACTTCGCAACTAACAACAACAGGAAAAGGAAGAGGGAATCAAGAACCCAAGGACTGAAAGGACAACCGTGCTGCAGACAAAACTTCCAGACGAATCATGGGTAAACTCTGGGCAAGGCGACAACCCAGTATGCGAATACCAGGACTATGACTTTTTAACAGCCCAGTTTGTGAACCCAGGGTCTTTGAGAAGATGACTCTGAGTGAGCAAGTGTGTTGCTTCCTGTTTGCCCACCCAATGTGATAAAACCACCCCTTAGGTGCATTTTCACTGGGATCTCTGATCCCAGAAGTGAGGTTGTCAAGGGCATAAACTCTGTGCAAACTGGGCATATGATGCACAGCAGCTTTTCTGACTTCTATCTGGGGAATTTGGAGATGGTTCAGTATTGGCTGGAGTACGCCTGGCCCTCTTCAGCACACAGGTGTAGCAGCAGAGAAGGAGAACCCGCGGCAAGTGGAAAACTGTGGATCAAGCTGGACACCCCCCTCCATTCCGTATCTGTCTCCATCACACCTAAAACTTAGAGGAAGGCGGTATTTTCCTTGGAAAATGAAAGTGAGGGGTGTTACTTTAGGAGTAAAAGAAGTGCAGGGAAGGTGGGCTCTATAGCTCTCACCTTTCTACATTTCCTGTGCTGCAGGCACAGCAATCTGTACTTTTATAGGGAAGGGCATTTTTGGTAAAGTTTGCTTCTTGTCCAATGCTGAGAAAGATGTAACTTTCAGAACATCTGCATTTCTTTATCAATGCTTTACAGGCGTGCATGACAGTGTGGCGAAAGGCTAAGATACAATAAACTTTGCTCGTGGCTGCGTCCTTTTCGGCTCTGATAAGGGTGGGAACCCAGATCAATGCAAGCCATAACCGCACAGTAATACCAAGTCAATATGATGTAAAACTTGTGCACTATGGAGTCTTTGTCCAAAATTTAGGAATGTCTCCCTCTCCACCCCCACATCTTACGGTCTGGAGTCAGAATCAACAGAGCAAACCTGCAAAAACTGGGCCACAACTAAGGTTGAATGGGGGAATAAGCGCGTCTTTGTCTCGCACCAAAAAGGTGGCTGTGAGGATACCATGCAGGTTTCTTTGGGGATATCATTCTGGGTTGGGCTATTGTGGAAAAAGCACATTCCAAATGACCACCCCCTAGTCTGAGATTACTGGGGAGAGGGCAAGCAGAGAAGGGCCCCTGAAGCTGGCCCCCGGGACCCAGCAGATTCATAAGGAGAGACATAGAAACATAGAAACAGAGCGAGTCAGAAGGGGCCTCCCGGGCCATCTAGTCTGACCCCCGGCTCCAGCCGGCTCCACTCAAGACATGCCCACCATGTGGACATCCAGCCTGACCTTGAACACCCGCACCGATGGGGCCTCAACCACCACCCGGGGAAGCCCATTCCACACCCTCGGGGTCCTGACTGTCAGGAAGTGCTTCCTGGCATCCAAACTGAACCTGGGTTCCCTGAGCTTTGCTCCGTTGGAGCGTGCCCTGCTCTCCTCTGCAGGGGAGAACAGGTCTCTACCCACCTCCGTGTGACGCCCCCTCACATACCTGTATGTCACCAACATGGTCCTTAAGGTACTCAGGTTCTGAGCTGCACAGACATTCTCAGCAGAGAGTTATACTGTTTCGTGGTACTCCTTGGGCAGCCCTTATCCATCCCCTTAACTTGGCACCCATGTGCCTCAACCCACAATATCCAACTTCCTGAGCAACAACACGGATGAGCATTTATTATTGACTCATTTCTATACAGCCCCAAGTTTACAACAATGCATAAAATCAAAATATGAATCTCATAAAAACCAAACATCAAAATAAACTTAAAAGAGCTAAAACACACACAAACTGACCTATAAAAGGAAAATAAAATCATCTGGGAGGGAAATCCCCTCCAGCCCCGGGGTAGTTTTAAAAGCTTTCGCATTAAGGGCAGTCATAGCCTGGCACCAGAAAGAGGACAAGATGGGAGGCCACCACTGAGAAGACCCCCCCCCCCCCAGTTCCACCATCTGAGCATCTCTCGGCTGCTGTGCAATAACAGAGCGAGATGCCTGCAGGTATCTTGGGAGGAAATACTGGAATATGGCACTTGAATAGGTACTGGGCTTGCAAGGAATCCAAGCCTGCCCAGAACATACACCTGTGCAGAAGCCTTGCTCACAACAGGCTGGTGGGACACAATGGCTCAGACTCCACCCAGACCAAAGCCGAATGATTTTTACTCCAGAATGCGGCTTGTTAACTGTGTTAATACAGAAAACCTGACTGGCAGGAACTGGCAAATCCATTTCACGCGGAAGAACTGGGACAGAGTTAGACGTGCTGTGGGAGATTCACCCGACCGGGTCCTGAATTAAAGTCCCGACAAACGAGGAACAGGGGAGTCCAGGAACCAAAGCGTGTTAGCTCGCGAGAAAGGCTAGAGCAGAGCATGGAAAAATGCAGGGCAGGGCAACTCGGGTAGGTAAAATAAGTAATGATCAGGGGATGGAGCCATTCCCCAGGAAGAGATGGCAACGTCTGTGATGGTTGGAGGGGGAATGGTAGGGAGGGAAGGCCCGCTGGGGCACGGCTTTATGCCTGGCGTGGAGGAAGCCGAAGGGGGAGGTTTTTCTTCCTCCTTGGAGCCCAGAGGGGTCATCCCAGGAAGCCGATGGGTGAGGAAGTCAGGACAGATCGAAGGAAGGACTTCCGTGCACGCGGAATTCACTTCCACAAGGATCACTGCTTGGGTGGCTTTAGGGACAGATCTGACAAGTTCTTGGAGGCCAGCTGGCTCTGTGCTACCTCTGGGATCAGGCGCGGTCTGCTTGGTGCATCCGTTGCTGGGGAACATGGGCGGGTGGGTGGCCTCTGTGTGAGCGCAATGTCGGACTAGGTGGGCCTGGCGTGACCCAACACCTCCCTTCTTCTGCTCTTAGCTAGCTCTGACTGGAGACTCGATTCAGCCGGGAGGCCAGGTTTTGAACTCCCCAGAACTTGCCTGATGCAATGGCAAGCCCTGCTTTGGGATATTAACTATTATTTATTTATTATGCTATTTAAAACATTTTTATGCCGCCCCCCATCGCAACAAAGCCTCGGGGCGGCTCACGACGAGAACAAAATGATACAGTAAAAAATAGGATGAAACGATGGCCGGCATGTCCTGTCCCCCCGCCGCTCCGCGACCCAAAAAAGGGCGCTGGGAATTCAGGTGTAACAAAAAGTAGAACCTGCATTTGCTGCAACGTAACCCGCTCTATCCCAGCGCTGCCAGATTTTCTTTCAATGGCCTGGCAAACCACTGGAAGCAATGGCGGACAGAGATATGGAGTGCTGAGGTTAGACACAGCATAGGAGTACCACCCTAACCTATCAGTCTGAGGTCTGCGTTGTGTTCCCAGGGCTCCGTGTGTCGGTACGGCTTGGGACTGCATGCGACCTGCCGTCTGCCCAGGAAGAAAGCCTCACATCATGCTTGCAAGGGTGCAGGGGCCAGCTGTAGTCGCTCTGTAGTGAAAAGAACTCTGCACGTGCTCAGTGGTACTCTAAATCATATCGCTTTATCCATTTTTCCTTTAAAAAAGGGGCTCGGCCAAAGATGGGGCGGTGTGGCACTTAATAAGGGGTGGGTGAAGAAGTGGGAAAGGGGCTACAGAACTGAAACCGAGAGCACACGCATGAGGGTTTTCTCCCCCAGCCCATATTCCTGTTGAAAACATTCCAGCACTTTAGAAAAGGGTACAATTAGATAGAATTGCGGCTCTGGCAGTAGGGAAGACCCCCGTCCCCACCCATGAAATTTGGCTGCAGGTAATTTCGACTGTTCGCAAGAGCTGAGCAGGGCTGAGGCCAGGGCATTCTGGAGGGTGTTCATTCACAGCATCGCCGTAAGTCATAGACAGATTGATGGAACATCACAACAATTTTGGCTATTCAAGAGTCGGACTATGGCAATTGCGTAACACAATTTTGTCCGAACTAGGGTGTGCGTGGAGGGGAGCATTCTCCCAGACAAAGAGGCTTTAAGCTACAATTCTGGAATCTCTAAACAGGACCAAATCTGCCCGCTCCTGGCACATGTGGCCTATTTAGCATAAACATGCCTAGGTTTGTGCCTTTATTTATTTATTTTATTAAATTTATTATTTATTAAAACATTTCTATGCCGCCCCTTGCCGAAGCCTTGGGGCGGCTCACAGCATTTAATGTTTTTGTTTGCCTAAGTGGGAGCTTACATAGAAAATACACAGGTTAAAACGTTTCAGAAAATTTATTTTTCATTCCTAGTACAAGGGTGAGGAGAAACTAGAAAAGTAAGGTTCTATACATGACAGGTGCCGGGGCTTTGGAATTCCAGATGTAGTAATCTGAAGACAGCACTTCCCGAGCTAAAATTAAGAGAAAAGGAGTGAGAAATGAATCCTAGAGTAGTATCTTAGAACACAGAAATAACACAAATTAGTCACGTCAGTATGTTTAAGATTTTAAATATCATCATTCAAAAAACTGAGCTGTAAGACATCGTAACAGTCCATAAGACTTTTTCCTAGAAGTCTGTTTTGTTAAAAGCTGAATTCTGCAGAACCTAATTCTGACACGGCCCATCGCTTCAACGTGTTCTGGTTCAGGCGGAATGGACGAGGTTGGGACCTACTCACCTGTGCTGATCTTTGGTTTTCCTGATGCAAACATCTGGATGGAATGTTGCTCTGTGTAACACCCGGTGAGCGTGAAATCGAGGATTCTAAAATAAAGCTAAAGACAACCAAGCGGAAAACACGGACAGCGATGCTGAGAAGTCCTGGCAACTTACACGGCGTCCTTGCACAAGAAAGCGGCCGCCAAAAACGCTCTGCTAACTTAAGCAAACTAATGACATGCATTTTGGTCAGCCTCTCAAGCGGGGCAGCCTGGGGAGCTGAGGCGGCTGCTTCCCTTTGCGCGTGGCTGAGGGGATTCTGGCTTTCCCACGTGGCTGTGAGCCATCCCGGGGCAGTCCTGCTGAGCCCCCGTGTGCCAAGATTTCCCACAACACCCCTACACAGGCTCCTGTGTGTTTCCTCAGGAGCAAGACCCCCTGGGGTCAATGGGGCTGACTCTCCCATGGTCTGTTCAGGATTCCGAGCGAGGTCAGCTGCAGCCGGATGGGGTTTGTCCTTCTTAATGCTGTCTTTGCTTAGGAGTAAATGCAAGAACCTCTTCCAAAACTCGTCGGGCATAAAGACCAGGCTCTATGGCTGGTCCTGCAGTGCTTCCTGCTGCTGGAGACGTTGTTCCAGGCAGGCTGTGTGGGCATCCGGGTACAGGAGGGCCGAGTGTCTTGACATCTGCGGCCAGAAATGGAACAGGGGTTCCACCGGCAAGACCCTGCGACCCCCTCCCCTCCAAAGAAGTCTTCGGAGTGAAAGACACACCCGGAAATGCCTATCCGCCGGGGTAAGGGCACCTGCTCCCTCCCACGGGCTGCCGCAGCTGGGCAGCAAAGCTGCCGAAGGACTCTTCGCGTCCATGACTTACTCTGACGTAGGCAGTTCCTCCAGCACACACTGGATCAACTGGCTGCTCCTGGCTTACAGGACCAAAAGTGACTGTCCCGGTCAGGGAGATCTCCAGTGACCTGGGGAATTTCTGTCCTGTAGAAGAAGCAAGAGATGTTTCCAGAAAGGTTGTGGAGCGATTCATGACTTGAACGCCTGTGACAACAGTAACGACAACACTTTTGGAGCAGTGAATAATCACGGCGGCTCTCCTGAGAGCTGAACCAGGAGCAGAATCCCAGGAAGGCCAGGGCATCCCGTTTTGGCAAGGGACCTGAGAGACAGTGGTGGGGCCAGAGGGCACATGTGCGCCATTTACAGCGGTGATGAGAACCAGCAAGCGTCTTGCTCGCAGCCCATCCTCTTGACCACCAACTCAAGACCAGGGAGAAAGAAGTCCTTGGTGGCAGAAACCACCAAAGACTTGGCCTGGTGCCTTGGCCTCACCAGAAACATGGCGGCCAGCAAGCTCCTTCCAAACACCCTCCAGCACCTGCCCCCCCTTGGCCTAGAAGAGAAGGGGAAGAGGAGGTGCCTCTTACCTATGACCCAAACCAGCAGGCTCTTCTCCTTCGACACTTCAAGTTGGCCGTAGCTGACCTTGTACTCCAGGTGCGTGATGGGCCCCCTGTCACCGAGACACGAGCAGTGCACCATTGAAAGTTGCGACACGTTTGCCCGACGAGCTACCAAAACCGTTTTGTGAAATGATGGACGAGCGAGGCAGTAACGGACTTCTCTTACACACAGCGTACTGGATATGACCGAACACTTAAATATGATTTAACCGTTCAGAGAAATAGGTTTTGGTTGATATTGGCTATAGCCTCTCCGTGGTGAATGGGTCATGATCGTGTTCCAGCAGGCCCATGGGGGCCACCTTATTAACTATAGAGACACTTCCCTCTGTCCTATCTCGGGGCAGCGCTCTCTCACATGCAGACTGAAGATCCGATGTGAAACAATGGCCCATCCACTGCTCCCCGTGATGCGCAGCAAAGAGCCACATGTTATGGCTTTAGCGTAGCCGACTGTGGCGACACTGAGGGGGCCTTTCCGAGCATCCCGTGGCAGATGTGACAACGAAACACACCAATGCAAGTCGACGTGCGTAAAACTTCCCCAAGGGCGCCAGAGGGGTCCCAGGGCCCACGCCCACCGCCTCTCTTACCCCGTGCCGTTTCGCTGAGGACGATGTTTAGTGCTGTGTGTCCGCACTGGTGCTTTCACCAGCTGTCGTTTCTGTCGAGCTACAGTCGGCAGGCAGCCCTTCATTTCCGCCAGCTTGGCTGCCCTGGCTGCTTTGAGCCGAGGTGGCTGCGGCCAGGTGCGGCCCAAAGGTGCGCGCCACTGAGCCAATCGGAAGGGCTGACACTACCTGCTCCTTGGGCCGGAGTGGGAAGGCTCTCTGGCTAGCTGCAGGTTGCTCAGCAGTTGGACTAGGCACGAGCAGCTTGCACACAAGCAGGCTTAAGGGGCTTCTCGTGAGAACGCTCTATGACAGCCACCAAAAGGAACTAGGTCTTATTTCTCCTTTTCCTTTCTCTGCTGCTGTGTTGGTTGTTGCCACTGAAAAAGGGCTTTTACAGAGAGAGATTCTGTAAGGCTTGTCCGCGATGACAAGGCTGGCCTCTGGCCAAGGAAGAAAACAACGCCTCTTGAGGCTGATTTTTGAGATTCCCACAGGGGAATGCTGGGGAACTCATGCCTCCGTTTGGGGCAGTTCAATCTGTGTATGTTAGCAAAGCGATGCCGTCTTTCCATTTGCGTTGGGTGCAACACTGGTGAACCGTACCGAAGACATTTGGGTGGAACCATAACCCTAAATCACTGGAAATTGCGGTAGTCTCACCTGTTGAAAAAGGGAACACGGGCTTCACAGTATTCGAAAGCATTTTTCACACTCTCATGAAGCTTAAGGTGAATGCTGAACTTCCACTGGGCTTCTTCTTCTCTCAGCTGGTAAAAGCCTAAAAAGGGAGGCACAGGCACCTGGGCGGGATGGAACAAAGAGATGAATTCGCCACATGCCTATTTTAAGATCATTTTATGTGTTTGATCAACTGGTGCTTCCTGCTTTCGTATGTCACAGGCTGCCCCGGAGCTTCTTTGGAGGCATGTGATAAGAGTACAAATTCCAAAATAAAGTAAAATGAATTAAAATGGGACACCAGTTTCCAGATGTCAAATATAAACTCTCTGATTGCTAAACAGTCAGATAATTAGGCAGAAAGTGCTTAATTCCGATGGAAAATAGGAATTAACAACTCATTTGCAAGCTAGATTCTCTAAACCAGCGATCAGCAGGGTGTTGGAAATATTTCTAGGATGAAGGCCAAAAACTCGCCCAATGGCACACGCAAAGCATGTAATGCATTGGAGGGCTGCTGCTAATGTGCAGATGCCTCTCAGAATCACGAGGTTGAGCAGAAACAGGCCGTGGTTACGAATGGCCTCAGCTGGGCTCCTGTACATGAAACCTTGGCAAAGTGACCCCATGGCCCAGTTCTGTATCCGTTCAATTCTTCTTTTGAGACAAGTATCGTGATGGGGAGACGTACGGCCAGGGGCTCTTTCACGCCTCTGTCCTTCACAGAACTCAGTGGGCCAGCCCAAGTTCTCGCCTCTTTGTCCACCCCATCAACACTGCTGGCCCCATCAAAAATCAGGCCGTGTTACTCAACGGGTATGGAATTTTTGCACTTCGGCCTTCCTGGTGATTCCTTTTGTAGGACCCACACCAATTCCCGCAACTACAGGTGGGCACCAGACCCTGAAAAGCACCCCCCACCCCCGGCCCTCCAGAAGGCAGAGCAAAGGACTCTCGGGGACCAAGCCCAGACAAACCAGCATGCCGGTGGCGTGTGCAGGCGCTCTGCCGCTTCCACATCCAGCCGCACGCCTGTGCAGCGTTTCCACCTGGCGCACCGAGAAGGCGTTTTGCAGTCTTCTCTGCATATCGTGAGCGGAGCCGGCTGGGGCCTGGGGTCGGACTAGATGGCCCGGGAGGCCCCTTCTGACTCGCTCCGTGTCTATGTTTCAAGCTGCTCATGGCAGAATCATTTCACATCACAAACACTGCTTGCATTCGAGGAGGCCGTGCGGCTGGTGGGAGGAAGGCCCCATGGAGAGAGACGAGTGCTCTGGTCTGAGCGAGCCAATGCTCCAGTGGTTCAAAACTGGGCCTGACTGGAGTGCCAAGTCCGGGTTCACGGGCCTGTGGGCAAGGTGCCCACTGTGTTCTCGCTGCCACTGGTGCCAGTCCCACCGTGTCCTGGACATCACTGCTGGCCAGGCCCTCATCCGCACGGCACCAGACAGGAGGCGGAGGAGGCAGCAGGGCCGGGACGCCCACCGGTCCACGGGGGCTGGGACGGCCCTTTCAGAAGCCCTCCGTCCGGCACCCACAGATTTGCCCCCATGCTCAGCCCAGGCCTGCAAAGCAACCCGAGCCGAGAGGAGGGTTGCAAATGCTCGCAGCCCGTGCCCGCGTGACCAGCAACCTTTCCTGCACGATGTGGAAAAGGGCCCTGCGATGGTCGGCCAGCCACCATTCCTGGCGAGCAACCGTCTTCCCTGTTTGCCGCTGCCGGTGGCGGCATGTGCAAGAAAAGGGGCCCCCAGTGGGCGCGCCAGAGGCCCAAGCTTTACGCAGAGAGGGAGCGGCCCCAAGCCCAGGGCATCCGGTGCATTCCCACCCTCAGATGGATTCCTCGCATGTCCCACCTGCGCCCTCCTTGCCGGGGCATCGACTCCGGCAGAGGCAGGACCACCCTTGCCCGGCGTGATGTGCATTGGTGGCACAGATCCCCCCCTGCTCACCTGGGAAGTATAAAAGCACAGATTGAATTGGTCCGGAGGCGGAATTAAAGGGAATTTGTAGGGTCCACTGAAGGCCGAGTCGTCCGCTATGCCCACGCTGCTGGAGGTCAGGATGGCAGAGTCCAGGGAGGAGACGCACGGGTGGACAAGGATGTCCTGGAGCGGGGAGCCGTTGGCTGGGAGGTTGAGGCTGATGGTCACGCTGGGAGCGGCACCTTCGATGTCGCACTGCAGAGACACAGCCAACAGTCTTCAGAGGGACGCCGTTGTTACGGGACAGGCCTCACTGGGGAATTATAGCCTCCCGTCTGTTTATGTCTTTTAAAACATGCATGCCTTCCAGAACATGCTGTTCTCACAAGGTGAGCGAAGATATTACGAAGCATGTGAAAAGGCAATCACAATGTTTAAAAGCTCCCCTCCTCACCCCCAGTAATATCAGCCAGGCATTTTTAAGCGCGTGGAATGCAGTCCGGGATAAACGGCTATTCAGAGATTGATGGAAAGGCAGCACTGAAAGGGAGACATGGATCCCCGTGGGGAGAGCCCTCCAAGGTGGGAGGCCACCACACCTTGAGAAAGCCGTGTTGCTACCAGGCCAGAAGGCAGGTGGGAGCAGTTCTTCAGATAACACGGTCCCAAAAGGCTCGGGGCTTTTCAGACCCAAGCCAGAACCTTGGATCAGGCCTGGAGACGACAGAAATCTTGCCCTGTACTAGCTGCGGGTCATCATGGTTAGTCTTCAAGGGTAGTCCCCCAGGAGATGGCACAGTGGTGATCTCCACAGATGCTGCCAAGGCTTGCACCACTGGTGCTGGAACGCTTTCCCTGCGCGGGGCTGCAGCAGTCGGATCGGCCCGCAGCTGGTGAAAAGCGCTCCTGGCGACCGCTGTGGCATAGAAGGGCGTTCCCTGGGACGGCTGCCCTGGCCAGCCCTGGGGCCCCTTGGCAGAGCTTCAGCCTCCCTTTCCGGCTCGGCGTTGGGGAGGGAGCCGCGGCCATCCCTGGGATTCTGCGAAGGGCCAGCTGCAAAGCCTGCGGCGTTCCCGGCCACCCTCCCCAGTTCCTGGGAAGAGGGGAAGGCCAGGGCCGGGTGGGTTTTCTCTTTTTTTGAGTGTGCAGCCCTCTCCTATGATTTCATCACACCAATGTGCAAAAACAAAAGGAATTCGTTTTTACCACAGTATTTGAGCAAATTCTTTCATAAATTTCCAACGCTTCCACCTTCTTAAGCATACTTGCTAAGAAACAGGCCCACTGAATTTAATGTGGCCTTTTTTCTGCAGAAACTTGGTTCGGGTGAGGTTGTTAAAGTACTAGAATTGTGGTACAGAACATTTTCATTTGCGCATTTGGAGCTTAGTACAGCCACAAAACCAGTCGCACAATTGAGGTAGTTTACTTTCCGCATTTCTTTGACTTGCATAATTGGTTAGTTCTGGCATGGCAGCGCAGCTCCAACAGTTTATATTTTTAAACTCCTTTTATGTCTGGGAGCTTGTTTCTCTCCCAAAGCTTTCCATAAAATGTTCTAACTGTAGCAATGGCATATGCTTGTAATCTTGATATTTTAAATGTTTTGTATTTGTAATCAGGCTGAGCAAAGGATCCACATTTGGCTCGAAACCTGTGATTTCCTTTATGTTCCTTAAAAGTACTGCGAGGCAGTGTGGTTTAGTGGTTAGAGTGCTGGACTGCAGAGCTAAGAGACCCAAGTTCTGGTCCCACTTGGCCATGAAGCTCATTGGATGACTTTCTAGCAGTCACTCATGCTCAGCTTAGCGTACCTCACAGGATTGTTGTTGTGAGGGCAAAATGGAGCCTCCTTGGCTTTCTCACAAGAGGAAAAAGAGCCAGTGTGGTGTAGTGGTTAAGGGCACGGGACTGGGACTCAGACGATCTGGGTTCTAGTCCCCGCTCGGCCATGGAGCCAACTGGGTGACTCTGGGCCAGTCACAGACTCTCAGCCCAGCCTACCTCACAGGGTGGTTGTTGTGGGGATAAGATGGGGGAGGAGAATGATGTAAGCTGCCTTGAGCCCTTTGTAGGAAAAAGGCAGGATATAAATCAATCATTAAATAAATAAATAAAATAAAAAAACTGGAGGACATAAATTCAATGTAACAACAGCAGCAGCAGCAGCAGCAGCAGCAGCATTTCCTGGGACCACATTACTGGAAGTTATTCAGGCTGCCTTCCTAAACACGCTTATTAAGGCTCAAACTATACCGAAACAGTGGCACTTAATTTCCGAGTAAACATACACATGGCTACATTTTCCATCTTCGTCACAGTGAACCGTGGTTTCCACTAACCAGCATTTAGAATCTGAACCACGGTTGGAGCTCCCCAGCGAACAGTCAGGCACCGTTTTAGGGACACTTCCCACTTTTGCTTCCCACCTGCTCAGCTCTTCCACATCCTTTGCAGGGGTCTGTGGAGCACAGCAATGGACCGCCGCTTGCAAACCCATTTTCAATCGTGTTTTTTAAAAATTCTGGTTTGCTAGCTGATCGCGACCTCGTGGTGTGTCAACTCAGATATCACGCCAAGCGATAGTTAAGGTTTGATTTCTGAATAAACCACCTTAACCTCTCCCAGGGGCTATTATGGGGATCGGTAACATAAAGATTGCATGCTAAAGGCTGTACACAGAAACGATAAAATATTAGCAGCAGCATCTTTTAACTCTTATTTAAGCCAGCAAAACTAGGAGTAAGGTTTGCAAGCACATAACCGTAAAGTGAGATTTTCCTTCTCGTTTAATTCACAAATCTAAAGAAACAGGATCTTCTCGGCAGCATGCTGAAGCATTAAAAATATTAAGTTCAGCCTCCCCATATGCCAAGATAAGAATGAGCTGAATTTTTGCTTTTCCAGGTGCATTCATGTGACAAATAGGTTAGAGAGATTTGCGCAGGAAATCGCCTCACCTTGCAAGTTACAGTCCCGTAAACCTGCCACACGTCTGCCAGGTCCCCATTGTCATACTGGACAGACTTGACTTTTTCTGTGATACAGACATTCACCTGGGGTTTTCCCTTGTATGTGCTGCTTCTCCAGGCAGGCGGCTTCGGCGGCTGGCCGCCCGGAGTGGCTGCATTGTTTTCGGGGCTGCTCAGGCTGCTATCGAGCGGGGTGCCGAGCGGACAGGCCTGCATGAGCAAGCTAGGGAGCTGCCCCAGTTTGGCATTCCTCTCCCCTTCGCCCTTCTGGCCGGCGCTCATGAAAACCAGCAGCCTGGACAAGAGGTCAAAGGCCTGGGATACCCCGCTGATGCCGAAGAGGGGTGGGCGCGGCGTTACCGACTGTTCGACCAAAGGAAGAGCGACGTAGATCAGTCTCCTCTTCTGGAAGGCCACCACGGGCCAGAGCTCCCCTCTCTCGGCCTGCAGCGCGTAGACGGAAGTCTTGCTGATTCGGGAGCAGCCATCCCGGCGCTCTACAAAGCTGGTGTCATCGTCTGTCAGCCTCAGTTCGAACAGTAACGCTTGAAGGAAAGGGCCGTCTTCTGGCACAGGCACATAGCTTGATCCATTGAAGAACGTGGCTCGCTTTTCCACTGTAGGGTAACGCCTGCAGCGGGGAGACAGGAGTAGAGTAACGACATTACTACTCTGTTGCTCTGCAAATGGTTCAGCGCATCGTGAACCGTGTGCCCGCATGCCTCGAACTGGTACCCTCGGGAGAGAGGTGCCTGCTGCGCACCTGCCGGCCACTTTCCTGCATGAGTACGTGGCATACAAACAGCCCCACAGCAGGCCAAGCCGGAAGCCCACGCCACCAAAGGGCTGTTCCGATTTGTACGCGGGCACCTCAACGTGCCACCCTGTGAGGAGCAGGCGCTCCATGTGGAGGCCTCTGAGCATGCCTCGTTTAGCACCCTCTTCCTGAAGAGGCACTTCCGTGGGAATCGGGCTGCTCGACGCGGGCGGAACCCCTTCCTGCACACACAAGATAGGCATCCTGGGTTCCCCAGATACGCTCGAGGGCTTGTTCCTTTTACAGTCATCCCTGGAAGGTCGTGGCTGGAAAAACGACAGCCTTGTTCGTAGGACAGGACAGGCAAATCATGTCAGCCCACTTTTGTCCTTCACGCATCCCCCATGAACCGGAGAAAAAGTTACTTCTGCTTGCCTGCACTACTTAGCCACTTGCTCATCAGCAGCTTCACTGCCCCCCCTGTAGTGCAGTCCTACAGTGAATTCTCCCCTTATTCAGCGGAGTAAAAGAAATATCAAACCCTTGCAGTATCAACAGGGAAGCAGGGAAAAAAAAGAAGTTTTTTTCTTTTTTACAAATGGGTTTAACTACTATGTTGTACGGCAATTATTTTTAAAAGACGCCACTGTCAGAAGCTAGGGTTGTTTTTTTTTCTCAAAATTAATTTAATTCCAAAATGTCAAGTTGACAGTGTCACTTTAAAGTACAGTAGGAATGAACAAAAGGGGATAATTGGCATTATGAGGAATTGGTGTTTGAACCTGGCATGGGAGAAGGTTTTTATTTGTTGTCTGTAATTCCCTTTTTGGCTGAAGGACGGCTGAAGTGTTCCTGAATCTACAAAGCAGAACTACAATTATTGCTGTACCTCAATAATCACCATCACAGTTTGTGTACAGATTTTAAACAATTAGTATATGCTTCTTTTTTTAACCCTCTCGAAGTTCATGGAGATGGGAGACCTGCGGACAAAAAGAGCGGGGCCTTTTCACTTCCCCGCATGCCAATTCCCTGCCACTTTTTTGAGTGGCCTAATTAGGCATTTGCGCTCTTCCTAGCAACCTTGCACGCACAGTGTGGGGGGGCCCACGCACTCCCACCACAGCCATCCACGGACCAGGGCAGCGGCTCCCCCAGAGCTGCCAACGATTCTGACCCCGCAGCAAGACGGACCAAGAAGCTCGTTTCGGGACCAGACGTCGCCTTTAGCAAGCGCTGCTCAAGGACGGCCTCTGTGTTACGGCTTCTGCCGCCATGCTGTTTTCGGCATGCGCAGAGTGTCTTGGCGTTAAGAGTGGCAGCCAGCCCCGAAAAATGGGGGCAGGAGCTGCCCGTTGGGGCTTCCACTCATTTCCGCTGGGTGAACAAGGCTAGGCAAAGCCTGTGGGCCCCGAAAGGGGTGTGAGAATGGCGTGTCCTATGGACGGAGCCGCAGTGTGGCAGCTGGCTTTACGAGGACTTGCTGCAGAAAAGCCATCTCATGCACACGTGCTCTGAACAAGTCTTTGCGCAACAAGCTGCACGGGTCCACCAGGCGTCTGCCGAGGGCTGCTGGGTGCAAGGGGGTGGCACCCCAGTTCTAGCTGCCAGCTGTCTGGACCAGTGTTTTCCCAGCTGCAAATGGGTTGCAAGAAATAAATGCAAGGCCCCGGAGTTCCTATCCACTCTCAGGAGTGGACGAATTCAGGCTCCCAGATACTTAGGCCTACAACTCCCATGATCCTGCACAACTGGCTATACCACTTATGGTTGTTGTAGGCACTGTTCCATTTCTCCCCCACCTTTCCCCTCTCCTGCACGGTGTCCGAGAAGGCCCACCTGGTCCTCCTGCTCTCCAGCAACAGCCCTGTGAGGTACACAGAGTTAAGTGTCCGTGATGGCACACCATCATCCGGGACGCTTCATGGCTGAGTGGGGACTAGATCTTGCCTCTTCGGAGTCCCAGGCTGACCACTACACCGCCATGGTGCGCTTGCCCTTTGTAGGCCAAGAATTTGTAGGTAGTCTTTGCTGGGGGAGAGAGTGGATCCCCAGTTTTGCCACATTTATTTATTTATTTAGAATTTTTGTATGCCGTCCCATTTGCATGAGCCTCGGGATGGCTTACATACAATAAATAAACAAAATACAAATACTGCACATAAAATCCAGATTCACCCTGGCTGCAAAATAAAAACCTATAGATGATGCTAAAAATTGTTAAAATACTGTTCGAATAAAAAGGTCTTGGCCTGGCGCCAAAAAACAAATAACAACAGTGCCAGGCAGACCTCTCTGGGGAGTGCATTCCACGGATGGGGCGCCACCGCAGAGAAAGCCCTCCTCCGGGTACTTTGCCTCCTGATGTCTCTCCCGGAGAGCTCCCGGAGGAGGGCCTCTGCTGCCGATCTCAGGGGGCGGGAGGGCAAATATGGAAGAAGGCATTCCTTCAGGTATCCGGGTCCCAAGCCATTAAGGGCTTTATAAGTAATTACCAACACCCTGAATTGAGCCCAGACTTCGATGGGGAGCCTGTGAAGCTGATGGAGGACTGGGGTTATGTGAGAATAACGCCCAGTCCCCGTCAGCAACCTGGCTGCTGTGTTTTGCACCATCTGAAGTATCCGGACCGTCTTCAAGGGCAGCCCCACGTAGAGCGCGTTACAGAAGTCCAACCGGGAAGTAACCAATGCATGTGTCACCGTTGCCAGGCAATCGTCCTCTTTCAATCCATTCTGCGACAAAGAACAATTTACCATCCTACAACAGACCGTCCACCATGTCTCCGCAGGCATAATTGCTCCGGCCTGCTCTTCCCCTTCACTAGACAGGGCTGAATAATCAAATCAAGACAGAGAAGCAGCAGAACAGCTTGTCCACTTCTCCCACCCAAGATGGGATTCCGGTTGTCCCTCTGAAAGGGTTGCTACTTTGGAGTTGGCCTCCACTGGAGGGTGGGCAAGGCAGTTCTGCACCTCTGGGTCACGGCGGAAACAAGTTACTCATCCCTCGACTGTTACTCATAAGTAGGGAGTTACTCATCCCTACTCATCTGACAGCAACCTGTGGAAAGGACAGACTAAATTTGTTCCTAAAATGGCAGAAAAGTGGCAGTCTGGAAAAAAACAGCAAAACATGAATGGGATTTGGGGGGGGGGAACCCCTTTTTAAAAGAGTATTATAAAATTTGGAGACAACCCCTTGCTCCATGAGCCCTATTAAATTAGTAATGCTGGGAACTGCTGAATCATGGAACAGCTGGAAGGGGCCAAGAAGGCATCCCCAGCAGACGGCAACCCGGCCACATTCCGAATACTCCAGCTGGGAAAGCCCACGGCCTGCCCAAGTCCGTAGTTCCATGGCTGTATTACTCTAAAGGCCAGGAAGTCTTCCTCATGTTCCGCTGGAATCTGGCTTCCTGTATCCTGAGTCCATTCCTTCATGTCCTGCACTCTGGAAGGACTGAGGAGAGATCCTGCCCCTGCTCTGGGCGACAACCTTTCAAGTACTCGACGAGGGCTAGCCTATCTCCCCTCAGTCTTCCCAAGGCCAAGCATACCCAGTTCTTCCACAAAGCTGTGTTTCCAGTCCCTGGATCATCCCTCTTTGGTCCTTTTCCAGTTCTGCATCTTTCTGGAAGTCGGAAGCCCAGAACTGGATGCAGTACTCAGGATGGAGCCAAACCAGAGGGGAACGAGTATACTTCATATGATTTGGAAGTGCTATTCTAAGAATGCAGCCCAAAACAGCGTTTGTCTTTTTTACAGACATGGTGGACTCACAACAGAAACGTAAAAACAGAGTGAGTCAGAAGGGGTCTCCCGTGCCATCTAGTCTGACCCCCGGCTCCACTCATGATCTATATCAATTCCAAGATGCTTCTTGCACGTAGTATTGTAGAGAGCCAGTGTGGTGTACTGGTTATAAGTGTGGGACTGGGACTTGGGCAATCTCGAAGCCAACTGGGTGACTTTGGGTCAGTCAGACCCTCAGCCCAACCTACCTCACAGGGTTGTTGTTATGGGGAGAGGCCTGAAAGCAGGAGGAGGAGAATGATGCAAACTGCCTTGAGTTCTTTAAAAGAAAAAGGCAGGATGTAAATTGAAAAAATAAATACTGTTCAGCCAGATATCCCTCATCCAGGAACCAACAACATCTAAGCATCTGCTCTTCCACTGAGTGGTGGGCTTTCCTCTCAAGGTCACCTGAAGCTCATTTAGGGGAAAGGTGACGGCTTAAAGGCTTTGCCAGTGGAGGGTCCTGGATTCGATTTCAGACGTCTCCAGGTAGGGCTGGAAAACCTGGAGAGCCACTGCTTTGACAGGTGGCAAGGCAGCTTTCGCTGCGGCGGCTGAAATCCTGCAAGAGTTCTGCTGGAGCGAGCCTGCAACTCCCCACTGGGAAGGCACCCCTCGTGGGGGGCCCGGAGCAGCCGGGCCACGCATTACCTGGAAAACAGCACGGTGCCACGGGCCCCTTGCTCGTGGCTGATGAGCCAGAGCCCCCGCAAGGCCATCGCGGGCAGCTAGCGGGGCATGCGATCACCGTCGGCCGATGGCCCCCCAGCTGCGAAACTCCCCGCCGCAGGCACCGCTGGGGGTCGGGGAGCTCCGGTCCGGCGCAGCCGTCCGTCCTCCTCCACCTCCGCTGACCCGCTTGCTCCTGGACCGAAGGGACAGGGGCCCCGGTCAGCACTGGCCCGCTGGGCGAGGGCCCACACGGCTCCGTGCAGCGCCCACCCACCAAGATCGGCGCCCCTCCCGCCAAGAGGGGAGCCCCGTTCCTGGCTCTGCGGACTCGGGCGCCCCGCAGCCGGCTTGCAGGGCCCTCCGCCTGCTGGCCCCCAGCAGCGAGCGCCTGCCCGGCCTGCACCCCAAGCCGCGCTCCGCAGGCCAGAGCCCCAGTGCTAGGCTGGGGACCCCCGCGCCAAGCGCCGCCGCGGAGAGCCTCCCCTGCCGGAGCGCAGGGCGCCTGCCGCCCTTCCGCTTCCCGCGCTGCGGCTCCGGGCCCCCCGGGCAGGCGAGGCGAGGCGAGGCCGGGCACCGCGCCCCGACCCTCGAAGGGCCGCCGCCCGCCGCCCGCCCTCTCCGGCGGAGCCCCGTTGCGGCGCGGCGCCTCCCGCCCCTCTCGGGCCGACCTGGGCCTGCGGCGAGCAGAGGCGCCGGAGCGCGGCGGCGGCGGCTGACGGAGGCGCCTGGGCGGAGCCGCCTGCAGGCCCAGCGAGGCTGGGCCGGGGCCGGAGCGCCGGGAGGCCCGTGCGCTGAGGGGAGCGGGAGCAGGAGGAGCCGCTGCCGCTGCCGCCGCCTGGGAGGGCGCCCGCTCGCCCGGTGGAGCCGGCGGGGCGGGGCCGGGATGGACGAGGCCTGGCCGGGGCGCCGCGCGGGCGGCCTGCGGGGGCGGCTGCGCGACAAGGAGGGCGAGGGCGGCGGCTCCGCGGCCATGGCGGCCGTCACGGCCGAGCTCTTCGAGGTGAGGCGGGCGGGGCGGCCCGGCCCGCTGCTGCCGCCGCCCCGTTGGGGGGCTTCCTTTGTTTCCCGGGTGGGGGCTCCCCCTGCCCGCCTGGGGGGGGCAGCGCCTCTCTGTCCTCTTGGAGGGGCGCCCCCTTCCTGGCCTGCTCCCCCCGCGCTGGGGGCGCCCCCGACTTGTCTGCGGGGGTGGGATGAGGAGGCCGAGAGGGGAGCAGGGGGCCGCCATGGGGTGCAGGCTGGGGGGCGGGTTGCTGGGGCGTGGGGTTTGAGTTGCCCCCCTGGTGTGGGGGTGCATGCAGTATGGTTGGAAATGGAGGGGTTAAGTATTTAGGTAAGCCAGGTGTGGGGCAGGGAGGTGATCCTGCTCAAAGGGGGTAGTGTAGGTGAGGAGAGAACCCTGGGGGCGTTTGTGGGCCCAGGTGTGGGGCCATGCTTGCCTTCACGACTGTCCTTTTGCGTTTCCACGGGAGCGGTAGGAAAATAAGCTATTGATTGGAGCATAGGGAAGTTGTAGATAGAGGAAAAATGGGGGGTTGCAGGGGAAAGGGCTTGAGGGTAAGGAGCGAAGCTGCCCCTGGAGCAACAGAGGATTAGGGCCCCCGAAAATGCGGAGGGAGAAGCAATGAGTGTGTACAGGGTGCTCCTGGGTTCATAGAAAATAGAGTTTTTGTGGGGTCCCAGATGGGGAGAGGATGGGCTGTGCATGAGAGAGGGGGAGACACGGATGTGGAGCTGGGTTGCCGTTTTTCTTCCCCCTAATAGCCACGTGAAAAAGATAATTCGGCAAACCAGCCTTTTCCTGCCAGGGAACGGTCGGCTTGTCATGCAGCTACTAAAAGCACTGGTGGCTTGTTAAAGGAGTGATAAGAAGAGCAGTTGGAAGATTGGGAGGTGTCATGTTTGCTTGGCACTGCAAATGAGAATGATGCGCTCATGGGTGGGAGTCGTGGGAAAATGCAGTGGGGGCAGAACAGTTAGGGGGTGCAGGAGGGCAACTAAGAAGCGTCTGGAATGGTATTGTTGTCTGGAGAGGGGAAAGGCACCAGGAGCGATTTCCCTGTTTTGTGTGGCAAGCTGTCAAGAACCGATGCTGCTGGTCTAAAAAACTTGTTTTGTTTGCTGCTATGGCTCTTTTTCTAGGAAAGGGGTCATTAGTGTTCCCGTTACTAGATTACATTTATACCTCTCCTCTCTTTCTCTTGCAAGGAACCCAAAACTTACTGATATATATATATATGGCCTCTGATGCCAGCCCTCTCCAGTAATTTCTCTTGGGGTTCATTGAAAAGAGAGGTACAGTACCATACTGCTTGGGTGCTGAGAACCACATTCATTGCAATCCTAAACTGCTGAAGAAGTATCATCCCACTTTGTTATAAAAATGCTACCTTTTTTTTTTTCCTGACAGGGCTGCTGTGTCTTTAATAGATATCTTTTAGATGCACTGGAGATAGGATTTTATTTTCTGAATTTCTACTTGTCTGTTCTTCTTCAAGGTACAGCAACTCTGTTAGGGGCGGTGATCTAAACTTAGCTGCGCATGTAACAGAAAGAAAGATGAGCTTCAGTATTGCTGTACGAACTAGAAGAATTAATGTTCTGTTCCCAGCCTAACCTTTTGAATGAGAAGGACGTTTTCATAGGGGCAAGAATATGAATGTCAGAAAGTGTAAAACCTAATGAACCCTGCAAGCTGCTCCTGTCTGCCACATAAAAATTCACATTTAATAATTCACAGTTGTCCTTTAGGTATAAGGATGCGGTCCTACATATACAGTTACCTGGAAGCCACCCTCATTGTAAATTCTGAAGTTTACTGTGGTATATGATTATGCTATAAGTCTCCCAGGGTTACATATAATGAAAGCAGTAAAATGACAATGCTATATCTATTAGTTACAAATCCCAGAAGCAACAGCCAAGAACCAGCAAAACCAGTAAGTTCATAAAATCCAGTAAGCCATAAAAACACATCTGACAGCTATGAAATATGCCAGAATGCCCCTTTCCCTGTTTTTATATGCATAGTGCTGAAAATGCTCTTGGTTGGTGCTGGGCAGTCTTCTCTGAGGCATTGTCCTTGCAGAGCACTGAAAAATGGCGTGGGGACCCAGAGGACCCCTTCTGACGATGAGCAAACGCCTTCTGGTAGATTTCAGTTGCAGAAGGCATACTTTAATAACAGCCAGCACTTTGAACTGTGCCTAGAAATGGATGGGTGTAGAATCGTAGAATAGGAGAATTGGAAGGGGCCAAGAAGGCCACTCCTGCTCAGTGCAGGACTCCCAGTTAAACCATCCCTGCAAGATGACTGTCCAGCTGTATCTCGACAACCTCCTTAAATCATTGGTTCCATTGACATTATTATTATTATTATTATTATTATTATTATTATTACTACTACTACTACTACTACTACTACTACTACTACAGCATTTCTATGCTGCCCCTTGCCGAAGCCTCAGGGCGGCTTACAACACAATAAAATACACTGAAGTACAATAGAATGTAATAAATTACCTCCAATTACATAAATACAAAGAATACGCTGGGATACCCACATAATCATATAAAGTTAAAATTAACAGTATAAAATAAGTGAATAAAGAATATAGGAGGAGAATAGAGAAGGAAGAAGAAGTTGCCCTGGCCAGATTATATATTTTAACAATTAAAATGATGTTTAAATAAAAAGGTCTTTACCTGGCACCGAAAAACAAGTAACGACGGTGCCAGGCGGATCTCTTTGGGGAGTGAATTCCATAGGTTGGGTGCCACCATAGAGAAAGCCCTCCTCTGAGTGCTTAGTCTCCTAATTTCTTTCATGCTCTAACTGTCAGGAAGTTCCTCCTGATGTTCAGCCAGAACATGGCTTCCCGGAACCTGAGCCCGTTATTCCAAGCCCTGCACTGCGGGAGGGCTGAGAAGAGTTTCTGGCCATCCTCTGGGTGACAGCCTTTCATCTACTGTACTTGAGGAGGGCTAGCCTGTCTCCCCCTTCCCTTCCCTTCCCTTGGCTAAACGTGCTCAGTTCTTTCAATCTTTCCCCCTAGGGCTTTGTCTTCAGCCTGGTTAGTTACCCTCCTCTGAACCCTTCCCAGTTTATCTGCATCTTTCCTAAACGGTGGTGCCAACACCTGCATTTACTTGTAAATGTGTGTGCCACCTTTCGCTGACATGGATTCTAATAGACATTATAGATCGTCTTTACAGTCCCTTGAAAGCAGTTGCAGAGGTTACGATAGGGCCTTGGATGTGATATGTGGAATTTTGTGCTGCTCACATGTGGCAGTTGTATTTTGATAGTCAGTGTCCCTTGTGGTAACGGCATTACAAACAAATGAATTTACCAGTGGGAAGCTAGATGGGTTAAACCAAAGATAAGCTTAGCTTGGGCAAGAAACAGGCCAAACTTGAATTGCTATTGTGGGTGCTGTGTAGGTGTTAAATAACTCTTATATCTGGTCAGTTACTATATTCCATGATGTTATATCTGTCATCAGTGTTGAAAATTCCCAGAACCGAAGGCTGTTGTGTTCTCTAAGCACTTCAAATTGGGTGAATTGGGGCTACTCAGTTTATGGGTAGTGTTCTCAAGGTGAAAAAAAATCTCATTTCTTTCTGGCAAACTATAGTTAGAAGTAATGTTAATGTTTCTGCATTGTCTATATTTGTTTTTTCACATTTTTGTTTTACAAATAACATACTGCACTTTTTAATTTTAACTACTCATTAGGGTTATTCTAGATGAATTTTACAACTATGGATAGAACTGGTCTGGTTAACTTAAGTGATGTTTTGTCAATTTAAAAATAGTAACAATTTTTTAAAGTTATGTATTGTCAGCAACGTGTACTGCTGGTGCTCTACAGAAGAGATGCAGACCGCTTGCAAGGTCTATTATCCACATGAACAATATGAAACATAGGTATATCCAGGGTTTTGGATTTATAAATTTATAGTGGCTGAGAGATAGGAATCATAAGAGTGGTCACAGTGGAGGAACAGGTAAGATGCTGGAGATGAGCAGAGTCCCCCAGGGCTCAGTTCTGGGACCGATATTGTTCATACTTTTTAATTAGTTACATCCAGTCTGCTGACTAAATTCATGGAAAGCACCACAGTGGCCACAACTGAGGAGCAGGTACTCCGGATCCAGAAGGATCTGGACAGGCTGTGGAAGTGGGCAGGGGGCAGCAGGATGGCATTCATTGTAGATAAGTGCAAGGTCTTGCACCTGGGACACAGGAATAGGTGTCGCAGGTACAGGACAGGGGACAAGTGGCTGGAGAGCAGCACTTGTGGAAGGGATCCTGGGGGTACTTGTGAACAGCAGGCCAAACATGAGCCAGCAATGTGATGTGGCAGTGAAGAAGGCAAGCACCACCCTTGGATGCATAGCCAGAAGCGTGGCTTCTGCCACGCTATATGGAATGCGCTCCCCAGAGAGGTCCGCCTGGTGCTGTCGTTATTTGTTTTTTAGCACCAGGCTAAGACCTTTTTATTTCAGCAATATTTTAATAAGTTTTAATATTGGTTCTTACATGTTTTTAACTGCCACCAGTGTGGATCTGTAATTCATTCGTGTTATGTTTTATATTATTTCATCTATGTAAGCCGTCCTGAGGCTTTCGCGATAGGGTAGCATATAAATTATATATATATATATATATATATATATATATATATATATATGAATGACCTCTGGTGCGCCCGCAACTGGAGTGTTGTGCTCAGTTCTGGGTTTCACATTGTAGGAGAGACAGCTAGGTTAAAATCAGTTCAGCACAGGGTCACAAGAATGGTAGCCAGGCTGGGACGGATGGCATAGGAGGAGAGATGGAGGGAACGGGGTCTTTTCAGCCTGGGGAAGAGGAGACCAAGGGGATCTTTTAGCGTCTTAGAGGTATGTGAGGGGATGCCATGTGGAGGAGGGCCGTGAGCTGTTCTTCCCGGCAGTGGAGGGCAGGACGCGTTCCAGTGGGGCACAGCTCCAGGAACCAGGCTTCAGGTTGGATGTCAGGAAGTGCTTCCTGACGGTTAGGACCCCTAGGATATGGAATGGGCTTCCAAGGGAGCCCCATCAGTGAGGGTGTTCAAGGAAAGACTGGGGGATCCCCAGACGTTGGGGATTACGTGAGTGGAGCTGGCTGGAGGTGGGGGTCAGACTAGATGGCCTGGGAGGTCCCTTCCGACTTTTTCCCCATGTTCCCATGCATTTAAGGATAGTGGCAGAAAATGGGTTTTGGAATTGGCCGCTTGAGGGCTTCCTGGAAGGGTCTGTCTAGCCACTCATGGAAACAGTAGGTCTTGAATGACGCTTGGTCTGCTGAAGCAGCGCATTCTCGTGCACTTCGGTGGGAGTCACCTGATGAATTCGCTGGAGGGAGGTGGCTGGGGGCCGGATTTCGGCAGAGGGCCCTTCAGCCCGGCTACCTGCACGCCAGATGCTTGGAGAAGCTGCAGACCATTCCTGGGCGTCTGTGGATGACCGAGCAACGGCCGTCCGTCTGAGGGGAGCGGTGGGGCAAGAAGGAGCAGGGCGGCTGCACAGGGAAGAGATGCTGGAGGCTGAGGCTGCTGAGCTGAAGGCGCGGAACCTCGCGTGCCTTGCTTTCCCTGCTCTAGCCCTTCTCTGGGCTGCTCGATGGGAAGTGCCCTTGCACAGAACGTTAGCTTCACCGTCGTGCGGGAATGCTGCTGAATGTGTCGGGCCCTTTTCAGTGTACGACGCGCCCTTGAGCTGGGAACCGCCGCTTGTGCAGGCCAGTTTTGCGAACCTTGAACGAGCTGTTCGCCATCGTACAACTGTCTAATTTTTAGATTAGGTGCATAAAGTGAAAAGTTCCACTGACCCCCCTCGTTGACGCTTTGAAAATCATTCGCTGCAGAAAAAGCTGCTAACCACTTTTCCAGTAAGTTGTAAACAATGTGTATCTCGCACTTCCCACTGCGGCTCGTTGTAAAAGGGTCTCTTTTATGTGGTTAGGAACCCTTTGTGGCAGATGAGTACATTGAACGCCTGGCATGGAGAACTCCTGGCGGAGGTTCCCGAGGTGGCATGGAAGCTTTTGATCCCAAAAGGTAAAATTCAGCAGCATAATCCTACAGTACAATGAACACTTTTTAAACCATCACTAACACAGAGCAAGCACTGTGCAAATCAAATGAGTATCCAATAAGCACGCCAGCTGTGAAGGCTGCTGGATTTCTATGACCACCCCCAATGCAAGCTTCTAAGCAGGTTTTCAGAATAGTGTGCTGGGGTATGCAGAGGGAGGCAGGAAGTGGAAAACAACAGGAAAACAGGGTAGAAGGCATTGGCTTTCTCTGAAAGCCCAACTTGGAGGAGGAGCGGTTTAGTGTGACTTAATGAGGGGGCCGTTTTGGTTTTCACAAGTAACAAGAGCTTGGGGAAGTACTTTTGGGGGTCGGTCCTTGGGCTGCTGTGCAGGATGGATTCCTGCAAGATGCTTGTCCCATTCAGTAAGAACAAATTGTTGTATTTTGCTGGCCAAACTGTCATTGAATGAATGTCTTTTAATCCCTTTTAATAAGCAGCTCAGTTTTCTCCTGGCTGTTTCATTGGTCCATCTCCTTAGAGTTTGGTTTTGTAGTTTTTATGGTCATCACTGTGAAGTATTGAGGTGCCTGACAGGAAGAAAGATAATATAAAAGCTTTCAGCCATTGATGATATTGAGACCTGAAACTAGCTCTTCTCTTCTTGGGTGGACCTCTCTCCTAGTCTCCCTAACATTTTGTAATTGGTGTTGAAGCTTGGGTCCCGATGTGAGAGTCCTTTGGGATTCCTCTGGTGTACCAGCCTACACATACAGCTTATGTGGATGTTCCTTGATCACATCAAGAGGGACATCCTGAGGTTGGGTTCTTGGTCTGTGCATTTGCTTGACTTAGGGTAAGAGGATTCCTCAGTACTGGCTAAGCGGGGAAGCCTGCTTTTTAATGGGGCTGTTTTGCCATTTTTTCATGGTTTGGTTCAGAAATCTGGTGGACGGTCAGGCTAATTCTGGCCAAATACAATAAAAGTATTATTTATTATATCTATATTCCACCTTCTTCCTTTTCCATTTTATCCTCACAACAACCCTGTTAGGTAGGTTGGACTGAACATCAGTGACTGACCCGAAGTCATCCAGTGACTCCATGGTTGAGTCAGGATGAGCATATGGACTTCTGGGTTGTACTCCAACAAGTGTTCTGTGTTAGACTAAAAACTGCAGTTCTCCGACAGTGGAGAAAGAAATTAGGATAGAAAGGCTTTTAGCAAAATGATAATATACTACATACTGTTTTTTTTAAAGCACCCACACATAAATAATGTGTGGGTGCTTTAAAAAGCCGCCCCGAGGCTTCGGTTGTGAGCCGCCCCGAGGCTTTGGCGAATGGGGCGGCATAGAAAATTTCTAAATAAATAAATAAGAAAGAAAGAAAGAAAGAAAGAAAGAAAGAAAGAAAGAAAGAGCTTCCTTCAGTTGCTTTGTGAAACATCACTATGAGCCTCACATGTTATAGTCTGTAACACCATGTTATGGTTTTATTATCACGAAATAAGCTTTTGCATACTGACATCAAATATTTCCTTCCCCAAAACCTCATCAGATTACAAGAAGAATTTGTGAATCATATTAATGAACTGAAATTGCTGGATGAACGAATCCAAAGAAGGGTAGAAAGGTTAGAGCAGCAAGTTCAGAGAGAAGCCAAGGAATTTGCCAAGAAAGTTCAAGAACTTCAGAAAAGCAACCAGGTAAGGCAATAGGACATTTGCCCTGTGAGTATGAGAGAACTTCCTGCTGGATTGTGTACTTAAGTTTATGTGCCAGTTCTAAGTGACAAGTTATTTTGGTCTTTTTTTGGTCATTTTCATCTCTGGAATTTGAATTCAGGAGAGGTAGAGGCACACCGGTTGTCACTTAGCAATTGGCACATGCTTCCCATTTACTTAAAAGCAGAGATACATTTAGGGGAAGGCATCGGTTATGTTTGGGGGCATTGTTGTCCTGGGTGGAAAGCATGGGTGGTCGCCTTCAGCCTTGTGCTTCTCATCCGCCCCCACCAAGGAGGAACGAGCTGCAGTAAATAATTTTCCTGGGCTCCAAGATCACCGCAGACGGGGACTGCAGCCAAGAAATTAAAAGACGCTTGCTCCTGGGGAGGAAAGCTAAGGCAAATCTAGATAGCATACTAAAAAGCAGAGACATCACCCTGACAACAAAAGTGCGTATAGTCAAGGCTTTGGTTTTCCCAGTTGCAATGTATGGCTGTGAAAGCTGGGCCATAAGGAAGGCTGAGCACCAAAGGATTGAAGCCTTTGAATCGTGGTGCTGGAGGAGACTCCTGCGAGTCCCTTGGACTGCAAGGCGATCAAACCGGTCAGTCCTAGAGGAGATCAACCCTGGCTGCTCTTTAGAAGGCCAGATCCTGAAGATGAAACTCAAATACTTTGGCCACCAAATGAGAAGGAAGGACTCCCTGGAGAAGAGCCTAATGCTGGGAACAATTGAGGGCAAAAGAGGAAGGGGATGGCAGAGAATGAAGTGGCTGGATGGAGTCACTGAAGCAGTCGGCATGAGCTTAAGTGGACTCCGGGGATGGTGGAGGACAGGAGGGCCTGGAGGAATGTTGTCCATGGGGTCGTGATGGGTCGGACACGACTTCGCGACTAACAACAACAACAAAGTCAGTTTACCTTAAAATCTGTACAAATTTCTTACAGTATTATTCTGCATGTACATGTAATCTCCAGGTGCGTTGGTTACATCATTATTGTTTATTATTGCATTGCACCTATATCCTGCCTTTTTCATCATGTGAGGAACCCAAAGTGGCATAGGCAGATAGCTCTGTTTTCTCCTCATCACAACCAGCCTGTGAGGGAATTGAGGCTGAGAGTGGCCCAGGTCACCCAGCCACCTTCATGTCTGGGACTAGAACCCGGATTTCCCAGGTCCCCTGCCTGACTGCCTCCCGCACCACGGTGGCTTATTCGGTTACCCATCTGCAGCCACTTTCCAGTCCGACTGGCTGTGCTGGAGTTAACCACCATGGAGCTCAGTGCTCAAACCTCCAGGGTTCCATGAATAAAGCAAAAAGAACTGCATGTGCGTAAGAGAAACTTCATATGAAGCTGAACGACCGGCAGCATTCTGTATATTTTGCTAAACTATTAGAACCAATCTTCCCAAATACTTAAGCAGGAGCATACTTCATGTACCACACATACGAAATCTGTGTTAAGATCCTCATATTTGACGGCGATAGAATTAGTTCAGCTCGTGCTACTTCAGGCGCTGCCGTTTCATCAGCTAGCTTTTGATTTCTTTTGGTGTTTGCGCATTTTGCTGGAGACTGGCCGGGGTGCTGAACCTTTCCTTGGATGGTCTTTGGGACTTTTCGTCCTTTGGAATGTTATTGAATGGCTTGACTTTTCTTAATTACAGTAAACACAAACATCATTGCTTTGTCTGGCTGCCCCTCTCCCAGGTTGCCTTCCAACACTTCCAAGAACTAGATGAGCATGTCAGCTATGTGGCAACTAAAGTCTGTCACCTTGGCGACCTGCTGGAGGGGGTCAACACGCCGCGGCAACGGCTGGTGGAGGCTCACAAACTGATGAAGTACTTTAATGAGTTCCTAGATGGAGAGTTGAAGTCTGATGTTTTCACCAACCCTGAAAAGGTAAGGCCAGTCAGCAGAACTGAAAGAAGTTGCTCACCGTAAGCTCAGTTGCCCTAATTACAACTCTCGCTCTAACTTTTCCCTGGTCTGGCTTCCCAGTGAGAGTCTTGTTCGAACTGCATTGTTCTGGAGTGCAGATTAACTCCCTTTACCTGCAGATTCAGCCATTCTGAATGTGGCAGTGCTGTCACTTCCCTCCCCCCACCCCTTTTGCAAAATCATAAGCGACTTGGAAGAATGCTGAGAGAGTAACTCTTTAGAATTCTTTGGAAATCTCTTGTGCACTTTTCTTCTTCTGAGCATCTTACTTTCATTCTTATTTGTGAATGAACGCTTTCCTTTAAGTGACTTTTGGAAGATCTCTATTTATGGAGGTAAGTATTATCAGGACGTGTTTTTTTAGGTTCCATGAAACTGTTTCTTCCCAAGGGAGTACAATAAGCACAGAGGTGCATTGTTAAAGAAATTGGGCAGATGAAGGAGTGTTTCTCTCTTTTTGAAGCTGGTGTCGTAATTTAAAACCAAGACATTACTCGTAAAGTCCCGCAGTTGCCTTTTTCGGTTGTATCAATGTTGGTTTCATAAACCGTTTTCTGGATTGAGAATAAACTTTGTCCTCTCTTTGCCTGATGCACTTGGCTTAGAGGTAAATACTATGGTTTGTTAAACCAGTTTCCCATGATGTCCAACCAGATCCTAGTTTGATAGCCATGCTTAAACCATTTTTCCAGGTTAAACTTCAAATACCATCATGCTGGCCTGTTGTAGCAATTTTCTTAAATGACGATAGTTCTACCTTCCTCTACACATGTTTCTAAGTCACTTCTCCAACAGTCTCCAAGCTCCACCCCCTTGATACATTCAGTATGTTTTTGTCCATTTTATCTATGACAGTATTTTTGCAATTTTAACATTATTCCTTTATGTTTTGTGAGCTTTCACATCTTAGTTTACTAAATGAGCGTTTACTAAAAGAAAGGCACCCTTTATTCGCTCATTGCTTTGTTAGATGTTTCTATATAGTTCATACGTTTTCAGCCAAGTCTATTTACTTATTAATTCCAAAAAATCCCAACATTTTAAAGTATCTTTTACTCAAATTCACTGAAAATGAATGTCAAGGGAATGTTATATGAAAATAATACTAATAACAAATGTGCATTCCTGTGCAAGTTTAGACAGGGGGAAAAAAAAGCTGGCTAGGGCATGCTGGGAAATGTAGGCCTTTGTAGGCCTTTCCTCTGTCCAAAATGTAGGCCTTGTGTAGGCCTTTCCTCTTTCCAAACTTGCATAGAATTGTGACAATTTATTCTGGACACTCAGTAAGAAAGCCAGAGTTGCATTTTTCCTTATTCCTTTTGGTGATTTATCTTTATGTTTTCACTACAATAAGGCTGGGAATATCATCCCAATTAAGGGTTCCTCTAATGTTTTGAAAGTTGTGTCCTGCTCTTCTATATAATTGGCTAAAAATGAAGACGTGAATTTGAGGGTTTTTGCACAGGTGGGCACACGTGCATTTTCTCAGGTGCCCATTGGTGCATGTGGGTGCTTTTGAATGCGAATGCAGGCTCGGGCAACTGCACATATTTCCCGAGAATTGTTTCCTGGTTGTATTTGGATGAGGATAGTGACTTGGACACACTCGCGTGTTTTGTGAACAGGGATGAAATTCTTGTACCTCTCTAAATAGGATCTACCCTCTTTCTTGGCTCCCTTTTACACAATAGATTGGATCTTAACTTCCCTCCTGTGACTAGAACACAGTTTTCCAATGGGCAGCCCCGAAATTCTTCCCTAGGGGTCCGGGTGCAGGAGCTGTGGATGAAAGGGGGGTTTGGCAAAATGACCCCCTCTTTATCATGGAGAAGGAGGAGCTTCTAGCCCAAGCCGTTGTCTGAATGTCTTTTCTGGGCTGTGTCTCTAATTAAGTGTGAAGTCATTTCTTGCCAGGTATTCATTGAGCAGTGTCTGTGGGCCAAAGCAGCCCAAACAACATTTGTTTCTGAATTGGGTTCAGCAAAGCTCACAGGAAGGAGTTTGGCTGATCCATTCCAACCTGCCTGTTTCTCAGGATAGGTTTACAACCCCTCCCAGTTGCACAACCAGTCTCACTGGCTCTCACTGGTATACCACAGTCAGTGGGAAGGCAGGAATACCACTGGATACTGCCCACAGTTCTCTCACTGATGCAGCTGGAACCTTTTCGCCAATCAGAGCCTTCAAACTGTTGTTATCCTCCCATTAGAAAGAGAAATCAACAGAGTCCAATTATCTAAATCTGATTTTGTTTTTCCCATCAGATCCACATAGCTCTGTGAAAGAACTAGTTTTCTCCAGAGAAATGACTTAAATGGTTACTTCTGAAATTTTATGTAAGCTGTTTTGTGTATGGGATCCTTCTCATCATTAGTACGATGAAAACATCATGTTGCAGACTTAATCTTCTTTATTTTCCAATTCCCCCAGTTTTCCTCTCATTGTTGTCACTTCTGATAAATGAGTAGGAAAATCAAGGAATCAAAACACTGTTCGCATACCTACCTGTTCATTTTAATTCATTCCTGCTGATTTTTTAAAACCTTTTGATATTTAGGGTTGTTTATTATTATAGCAGCAAGTGGTTCAAAACTTACCCCAAAGCAGTGACAAGGGGCAGTCCAATCTAGTTCCAACAGCTTATGTCAAATTAGCATTCAGAACCTCGCCAACAGGGAGTGATACACACATAATTTTCTCCTAATCAATAAATGTTCTTCCAGAGTCAGAAGCTTTTAATCCTTGACCAACATGCTCCCACTCCATGCAATCAAATGCTCCCCCCATCCCGAAATGCAGTGGGGTTTAATTCCTTTTTCTTGTTCTGCATCATATGCACTAGTGAGAATTCATTTCCTGAGTTCTGGTCCTTGTGCAGCTAAAAGAGCACCATCCTTGCCTACGAGGCACCCCATGGTTTCCAGTGGTGTGCAAAAACCCTTCCAGAAAAGTCCTAATGGGGCAAAACCTCCCAGAAGCAACCCAGTGAGGACTGAGCATGCTCCATCTGCAAATCTGGCAAGGCAGGCTGAAGCAGCCTGCCACGAGATGGAATCTGTAATACTTCTAATTTTTCTAATATGTGCCATTCTGTAGTGCATAAAAAGTAAGTTCTGGAACATGATCCATGAGGACAAGAGGAAAAAGTATAATCGTGGTCTTCCAGGCAGAGCTGCTGCCTTACAACCTTCTCAGAAAGCAGAGAGAGAGCGTAGGCTCCCACTGCGGATGTGTCCGTGCGGAAGTCGGTGCAGCTGGATGCCGCAAAAAGGCGTCAACAGTTGTGCTCGCGGGGGGGAGTGCGGCACTGCCCTCTGCCGCCCGGGCAGCCTTTCTCCCCGCGTGGAAGCTGCAGCAGGGGGCAGAGGCCCTCCTTGTGGTTTGCTGGGCCCCCCACCAACACCACTGTCGAGAGGAACACGGGGGCGCCTTGCGCAGCCGAGGCAGCTCGAGCACCTTGATCGTGCAGGGGCCAAGGTGGCATCCCCCCCCCCCCGCCTGCTCTGGCGATGTCGGCTGCCGCCTCCTGAAGGCACTGGGGACATACTCCCCCGGTGTGCCCGGCCAGCCACGCGCTTCTGCTGCCGTTCCCTTGCCAAGGCGTAAGCGGTGCGTGTGCATGCTGGATGTCCTGCTGAAAGGCGCTCGGGGGGCCTTCATGCAGGGATACCCCACTGACTCTAAGTTAGGAGGTGGCCTTTGAAGGCATCATCCAGAAATCTCTGTCCTTCCTCAGTATTTTGCATTATTTTCTGTGTGTCGTTTGACTGCAGGGAAGAGCTGCTTGTCCTGCTGCCTGGTGCCCACCTGCAGAGACTCTCAGCAGGGCTTATTCGAACCCCAGCCTGCCACACGGGCCTTTGCCCTGGCAGCGTAGTGGGATGGCCGGAGGGCTGTGAGGTTTGTGAGCCCCCCTTCTCGTCCAGCATCCCCCCCGGGGTTTGTGGGCAGAAGAAACATGCTGGACCCCAGACCAAGCGTGGCCGGCTGGGGATCGGCTCTGCCTTGCACCTGGGTGGCTTTCTAGGGTGCACTCGGCGTGTGCTGGTTCCAGCAGGGTGTCCCCGAGGTCCATGTCCGCAAGCAGACGCCTCACTGTATTCACAGGGCTGCTTTATACTTCAAAGGGTTTTGATTGCCTTACTAATCTTAGCAGTTTTCAAAACCGTAATTTTGCCTATTTTTAACCAGGCTTTGAGAAATCTCCCTGCAAGTAACTTGCCTGGGTGATCAGCCGTCCTCGCCTGTCAGGGCAGGCGGTCTTGAGCGGACAGATTGTTCGCTTCGCCGTGTCAGGCTTGGCTCTGGCTCGGATCCACCGGACTAAAATTTAGCAGAGCCTCTTTGCTTACCCGGAAGGTCTGGTCACCACAGTGTTGCTCGGGCGTTAGTTGAAGCGTTCCTTTGTGAAGGGCCAGGACCTTTTGCAAATGGTGTGCATTACTGGAGGATTACTCTTAATTTAGCTGGCAGTCTCTCCTTCCCAAAGGACTGAAATGATGTGTGTTTGTTTCCTCTTTTAAGAAAATCCAGCCCTTCCTTGAAGGAGCTCAGGGTGGGCGGCGCTGTACTTCACCACAAGCCTTTGATGTACCTTAGGCAGAGGGAGACGATGCCCCGAGGGCCCAAAGGAAGCTGCCTCAGGCCAAGCCGAGGTGTCGGCCCACCTGGCTTCGCGGGGTCTCACCCTGACTGGCAGCAGATCCCGGAGCTTCACAGCTCTGTACTTAGGTGCTGGAGGCTGGCCCGTGGCCCGCCACATGGAAAACAGGTGCCAAACGGCTTCATGGGGACCTGAAACGGGACCCCCGTCCTCGAAGTCCCGTGCTGCGCTTGGCCTGGCGTTAGGTGTGGAGGAACCACCCAGAGCACGGGGTGGCCTTGAGCTGTGTGCACAGGCGACAATATTCCTGGACTTCGGGCTGCGGGAGGCCATCGCAGTCCCTGCTAGCCCTTCGTGCGCCATGGTGCCAGTGAGGCAGGCTTTGCGCAAAAGGAGCCGCTCTGTTCCCCACTGCAGGAGCTGCTGGGGGCTTCCCCTGGATTCTGTGGGTCTGGCAAAGAGCCCGCTCGCCCGCTCGCCTGCAGGCTCTCGGGGAGAGGGCAGGTTCGCTGGATGAAGCTTTGAATGTACTCTTTGCAACTTGGTTTTGAGGAAGAGTTTGCCCTTACGAACGAAGGTTCTGAGTGACGCACGGTGCATTATGGAAATGCTTCTTGAAAGGATTGCAGACTTTCAGAAACTATGTGGCAGATATTGCTGCCGCATTTTAGGGAGGACACTGGGAAACGCTTCCAGTTTCCGGGAGCACATGACCAGCTGGCACCATTTTTCATTCTAGTCAGTTGTGTGTCTTTTCCTTACAGATTGAAGAAGCGGCTGATATCATCCAGAAGCTGCATCTGATCGCCCAGGAATTGCCTTTTGACAGGTGAAGAGCAACAGACAACTGTAAATTGTATTTGATTTCTGCCTCTTTCTGCTGGATTTCAGCTGGCGCTTTTGATGGAGTTTTGAAGTGGGGTGGGGCGAGGGAAAGCGTCATGAGCTGAAACCTTGGAGGCATGCTGGATTTTATGCAAGAAACCTGATTAGCAGAATACCGTCTTCTTTTTTGGCATGAGTGGCCCTTGTTCCAGTCACCTTGCATAATGGCATTTTTACTTTAGTGGTGGGCGGCAGCCTAGCCAAGAGTGGGCAGTCCAGTCCTGTGCTGATATGCTTAGATGGACATCCTGCCATGTCCATGGGGCTAACGCGCAAAGAAAATGCATAGGTCTGCAGAGCTCCTTGCTCCACCAGTGAGAGGGGCACCTTGCCCAACCGTTTTTAATCCTACTTTATTAATTTCTTTCATTTTTATACCACCCATTAGCTGAAGCTCGCTGGGTGGTTCACTAAATACAAGAACAAAGTACCTGAATGTAATCAAACCAAATACGAAAACAAATTAAAACAGCCTCAGAATAAAACCAGGGGGACAGCAGCCAGACAAGCGTCCAGAACCAAGCCTGAAGATTAAAAAGCAGGAGAGAACAGCGCAGCCTTCCTTCGGTGCTGAGAGGACATGGCACCGGTGCCAGGCAGTCCTGTTTTGGGTGGGGATTCTGTAAGCAGGGTGCCACCCCTGAAAAGGCCCCTTATCTAGTCGCCACCCCTCTCTCCTCTTTGGTGGAGGCTTCCAAGAAGTGCCACAGGAGGTGACCTTGGGGTTCAGAGAGAGGCACTCAGGAGGAGGCGGCCTCAGGCCAGGTTCAGGGGTTTCGGGGTCGATGCAACATGGTGTGTTTGTCCTGGCAACTGGCTGGAAGCCAGCGTGGATGGCAAAGCTTCGGCATTTTGGTTAGCCCATTTTGGGCCAGCTGAAGTTTCCGGACTGTTCTGAAAGGCAGCGCCACGTATGGTGAATGGCAGTAGCCCAGCAGAACGTTTTTCGGGGCGTGCAGAACCCTCACGAAACCGTCTCTGCTGAGAAGCGCTCAGTCACTGTGGCTTGGCAGCTGGATTCAGGAGTGCTCCCAGGCCGTGGTTTTGGTCCTTCAGGAGCCGTCCGAACCCCTGCAGAGCATTTGGAGCTTCATCTAGCCAGGCAGGCTAGACACTCCCTAAATGTACCTTCATTTGGTCTGGACCGAGTCTCGTTTATCAGGCTTCCTCCAGTCCATGACTGAGGCCAAGCGCCGATTCAGAGCACTGACTGCATTCCTCGTAGCTGAGGCTACTTGTGGAAGCAAAACCTCAGCATCAGACAGGAGGAGAAAGCACGAAGATGCCAAAGGGAGAACAGGCCATGCACTGAAACTAATTTTATGGTCAGGCTGACTCTTGACATATTTGGAGCATGGGAATTCTCCTTTGGGGACAACTGTAGTGAAGGCAAGACAAAACACATTCCAGGCGCTTGTGCTCTAGAAGCTCGTTCTCAGGTGGGATTGTCCCCAAGGGAAAACTTGCATGTTTGAAGTGGACTGGGATTCCGCTCGGCTGCAAACGATTCTCTGCCTTGTGCATCTTTCAGCAGTCTTTCCAAGCCTGCGCTGACACGCACTTCCCCCTGCAGAGGGCTGGTGGAGAGGTTGGGCCTGTGGTAGGAATGGTGGAGGTGGTGAGGAGTGGCTTTGCTTGAGCCGCTTCCTCAAGTCTTCCCTTGTGGATCGCACCTTCGAAAAGTGCCCTGCGAGGTGCAGCTTGTGGTCCGGTGGGTTATCCTGGTTTGTACCCTGCTAACTCCGTGCTTCACACACTGGGCCCAGTAAGCCTGCATTTGGTCAGGGAGGGTCCAGCGGAGGGCAAGAAAAATGATCCGGGATTTGGAAAGACAGCCCTGTGAGGAGAGACTGAGAGAACTGGGCATGCTCAGCCTTGAGAAGAGAAGACCGAGGGGGGACATGATATCCCTCTGTAAGGACCTCAAAGGCTGGCACAAAGAGGAAGGTCAAGATCTCTTCTTGCTGATGCCAGAGTGCAGGACACAGAAGAATCAAATTGTGGCAACCCAGATTCAGGCTGGACATCAGGAAAAGCTTCCTCACTGCCAGAGCAATACGGCAGTGGGACCAGCTGCCTGGAGAGGTGATGGGCTCTCCCACACTGGAGACATTCAGGGCGAAACTGGGCAGCCATTTGAGTGGGATGGTATGACGTTTTGTCCTGCAACAGCAGGGGGTTGGATTGGATGGCCTTCATGACCCCTTCCAGCTCTGCTATTCTACGATTCTATGATCTTCTTAAAAGCATCCTTGTATGGAGCACGATTTAGTCACTTTTACGCTTTACATTTTGGGATGGGCCTTAAAAACCTCCAAGGTGTGGCCACTAATTTGTATAATGTGTGCTTGGCTGGAGGGTTGTAGTGCTGAGATGTGGGTTTTTATTAACATATTTTCTTTTCTGTTGGCAGGTTTTCTGAAGTAAAATCCAAAATCGCAAGTAAGAATCTCTCTGCTCTCCTTCACTTATTTAATCTCTTGGGAAAGAATCCTGTTGCTCCTGCTCTCTGAACGCTAACCCCTTGTTTTGTTTCTGCCTGCTCCCCCCTGCACACAGGTAAGTACCATGATTTGGAGTGCCAACTGATCCAGGAGTTCACCAGTGCACAGAGAAGGGGACAGATCTGCAGGATGAGAGAAGTCGCTGCAGTCCTGCTTCACTTTAAGGTAAGGAGTCCGTGCCTGCAGCTGCCGTCCTGGGTACCCTCACCTGGGCATCCGGCCTGCTGGACACAAACCTGCGGAGGGCTGCAGCAGAAGCCACACGAGGCGCAGTGTGAGGCCAGGGTTCCGCCCTTTGAATAGCTGCCTGATGTCATCCCAGACTCTGGCCATCCGTCAGTGCCGGCTTTCCCCGGGTCGGAAGGGGTGGGTCAACAGCAACAGTGTGGCCCCCGTTCCACCGCCCAGACCGTGTGTCTTCTGCAGGCCGTTGCGTGGCGTGCCAGTTCATCCCTTTTGCAGTTGTAAAAAGTGGTTTCTTCTGCCTCTCGAAGCTTGACGTTCATCCTGTGGGTGGGAGTGGCATTGTGCTCATGGGCAGAGGTGAAGGCCTGGCTTCTCTCCTCTTTCATGCACTTTCATTTCCTTGGCTTCTCCTCTGTCCCGCCTCAGAAGCAGTGCAGTGCTTTCTTCCCAGTATGTTTTCAGTCGGGCGCAAATGCGTGCATGAGAAAACGGGACGCTGCTTTATGGCGAGTCCGAGCACGGGTCCTCTGAGTCCAGTATGCTGGGCACTGACTTTCAGCAGCAGCTCTGCAGGATTTCAGGCTGGGTTTTCTCTGTGGTTGCCAGTGAACTTTGTGGGTAACAGCATCAGACTGTGATAGCTGCCTTAGAGACCGTCTCTACACCCAAATCTTAGTTTATGAGCTGCCTTTATAGGCCTAAAACACTCAGCCTGAATTGAAGCAAGTGCCATGTACTGTGGCTGTAAGTATTCTCTTCCATTAGCGAGAGCTGAACAGTGGCACTTGTCTCAGAAGAACGGCATCCATGAGAGCTCTGTCCTGACAGGTGCTGCTGTACTGCCCTTTTCCAAATTTGGATTTCATTTTAAGTACGTGGTTGCAGTTTCACGCACCCACTTGGGAATCTGTGTCAGTTCAGGGCTTCAGAAACTTACATGTTTCTGTGAGATTCTTTCCTTAGTGCCAAACTGCAAATTTCTGCAGGATTTTTCCCTAGGATTTAGCCCCTGGCTATACGTTCCTGCAAGTCCTGTAGAAAAAAATTATCAGTGAATGTCCAGTAAGGTCCCATTAGTATTAGAAGGTTTCTGAGCTTCAAAACTGAGCATTTTTTGGGAGAGGTTGTAAGATCTGGGCTTGGTTTGTTGGCTGTGGCTATACCTTGTTGGGAGGGAGATGAAGTAGGCATGTGAACTTAAGGCCATGTGTGAATTCTGCTCTCACCTCTCTTAAGGTAAAGCATTTTGGAAACTCATACTAAAGGCCTTATCCTGAGTCATAACCAGAATCTTTGCAGTGTAGAGCTCCCAAGAGGCTGAGGAAGGATGTTTGGCATTCCACAGTATAATTTGAAGAATCTGTGAACAATAGTAATAATATGACTGAATTGCAACATCTTCCCCCCCCCACAGGGCTATTCTCACTGTGTCGATGTGTACATAAAGCAGTGCCAAGAGGTAAGGATTTGACTTGGAAGTGTGTGTGTGTGTTGTCAGATTGGTGAAGGATGCATCTGGATATGTTGTGGCTTTACAGGTACAGATATTTTCAGGGAAGAAACACTCTTTCGACCTTTCTGTCTTCCAGGGTGCCTTCTTGAGGATGGATATCTTTGAAGAAACGGCTGTTCTCTGCCAAAATGTGAACAAACAAGTTGGAGAGATATTTAGCAGTCCAGAGACCGTAATGGCAAAACTTATCCAGAATATCTTCGAAATCAGACTTCAGGTGACTTAGGAACTTGAAGCTGTTTGCTACTACTTAAGTATTTCTTTTTAAAATACAGAAATCCCTCTGGCTTTCATGGCTTTCTTCTTTATGTAATGCATTACCTTTGTGCCACCGTTACCTGTGCCAACTTTTCACACCTTAATTACTAAGGGCTCAAGCGTCTTTCATGCCAGGGTGCGTTGTGCTGGATATATGGCATGTAATTGTGGCTCTGTTTTGTGCCTGCCCCTCGGCTCCCTGCATGCTCAGGTAGCCATGTGTAGAGAATAGTGTTGCTTCCTGGTCTTGCCAGGCAGCTTAGGCAATTCGCAGAAACGGCGTTTTTTTTACACACAGTGGTGACTGGCTGCACAAAATCTTTGTGGGGATGGGCAGGAGAAGGAGCAGTGTTCTCTTGTTAAAAATGGAGCCTCTCTGGGTGCTTGTGAGGGTGCTCTTTTGGTGTGAACTAACATCTGGGGGCAGCATCCAGCTGAGCTGGCTCTTCCTTTGTGCTGGGGAGATAGATGGTTCAGTGCAGCCGATCTGGTAGGAACAATGCACGGGAGGTCAGGATAAGGCACAGCTCCTCCTCCACCTCCGGTGGTACCTCTGCCACTATGAAGAACAAAGGCGAGAGGCTCCGTGTGGTGTTGTGGTTAAGAGCACATGGCTGGGTCACAGGTGATCCGGGTTCTAGTCGCTGCTTGGCCATGGAGCCGACTGGGTGACTTTGGGCCAGTCACTCACTCTCAGCCCAACCTACCTGACAGGGTCATTCTTGAGGGTATAAGATTGTGGGCAGGAGGAGGAGAATGATGTAAAGATATAAATAGAATAAGTAGTTGCAGTTAATTTACATGAAAGGGTGAAAGTTTCGTGGGGATTAAACAGCCTTTCTGGAGGCAGCATGTACACATGGAGGCGATGTGAATACTGGCATTAATTCTTACCGGAACAGGGTGTTTTTGGACCTTTAGCTGACTCTGATAAGAAGTTCCCCACACTGGTCTAAATGCATAGGAACGTGTACAAGACGTGTGGAATGGAAATAACCGGGCACCTGGCCCTTTGCTTCACAGAGTTATATAAAAGAGCAGCTGGAAGAACATAAGAAGTCAGATGCAGAGCAGTACCTGCAGAGCCTCTATGACCTCTACACAAGGTTGGTGCTGCTGTGTGATGCTTCGGGGAGAGAAATCATGTGAGGTCTATGCCTGCCTCGTTTGGCTGGTCAGTCCCTCTGGGGATCTCCTGTCAGTAGATGCTGCCTTCCCTCAGAACGGCGAGCGGTTCTTCGAGTGCCCTCACCTCTTTGGGTTGTCTTGTGTGCACACACCCCTGCACACCGGTGTGTTCCCACACGCGCCCGACTGCGCTGCGTTAAGAGAGAGAAAGTCAGAATAGGAACCTCCGTTACTGAGTCATTTAAAAGGAGTTCATTGCCAGAAGAAGTGCGCCAAACACCACCCCTTTTGCCAGTAGCCCCAGGTTAATGTGTGGATATGTTCAGCGCAGGTTTTACTACATCTGCCCCAAAGAAGGGTGGTGGATGTGGATGATGGATCAGGAGTGGCAGGGACAAGACTAGATTGAGTGATGACCACACTATTCTGCACCTGAAGGCTGCTGCCTGTGTTAAACCTTTGCGCCAAAGAGACTCATAGTTGAGCCCTAACTGTAGCACAAGCTATTTATCTTCCAGCCAAATGCAAATGATTTGGGAAGTGTTGTTCTCGGCATTCCCGAAGGTTGCAATCCCATGCAAATTTAGAATGACCTGGCTGGGGCCGGCTGGAAGTTGTTAGCCTTTTCTGCTCCAAATTTTCATGGAGAATGGTGTGATCCAGTGAGGCGGCCCGTAACTCTGGGCTTGGAGGACGGTGGGCCTCCTATCGAAGGAAGGAGGTGCACGGAGGTGGCCGCCTCTGTGCCCCCCCCCCCACAAATCACTGACCTGGGTTGTCTTAAGTGTGTTGCCTGAAAGCATGAGGGGGTGAGGTCAAGGTGCCCCAACCCCTCTGCTCCTCGTCCCCTCAAGCCCCTCTCTGAGGTGGCTCTTACGAGTAGAACCCCAGCCTTGCAGCCAGAGTGGCGCATTCCAGGTGGGTGGTCCGCATTCAGCATCCCAGCTCTGAGCGTGGAGCCAATTTCGGAGCTGAGAACTGGGGTGCTAAATAGCCCTCGTGGCCACCTAGGCTCTGCAGAGCCTTAGGGTCGTGCCCTAAATGCTCTTAGAGAGGTTATGAGCGCAGTCCCAAAGCTGGCGCGGCTCTCCCGGGTGATGTAGGGCTTAGTTCTGTCTAACATGCGTAGGATTACGCCCTTCTTAAACTCGTCTCCGGTTCTCGCATGGGACCATCTCAGTAATTCCCAGTCCAAGGGACTGAGTAGGTCCCCATTTGCTAGGTGCATCCAGACCCCGCACTGCACCTTGTTAGAAGGGAACATTGTAAACACTACACCTGCATTTTAACACCTGCAAATCTGTTGCTTCCTTCTCTTGCTTTCTCCTGGCCTGACTTTAATTGAAAGGACTACAAATCTTTCAAGCAAACTGATGGAGTTTAACTTGGGCACTGATAAGCAGACTTTCTTGTCTAAGCTTATCAAATCCATCTTCGTTTCCTACTTGGAGAATTACATCGAGGTGGAAATCGGTTATTTGAGAAGCAGGAGCTCCATGATTTTGCAGCGCTACTATGAGTCAAAAAACCACCAGAAGAGAGCCATTGGGAGTGGAGGGTGAGTTCCGACCTGCAGTACGACTCCTCTGTGCTCGCTGTTCTACAGCCACTTCACGGGCTCATCTGTTGTTTAAGATGTTAGCAAATAACATTACCGATGTGTACCTACTGTAACATTTGCTTGAGTGTCTGATCTGCCACTGCAAAACCAGGCTGAAAATTCTGCAGAGACATTTGGTGCAATAACTTAGCGGCACAAGAGCTCATCCTTCTCTAACCCCTTCTTTGGTCTACTTCCAATTTTCTGGTTACTTTTTTGAGTATCTGTGGAGGGGGAAGAGAAAGGGGAATAAAGCCTTCTTTATGCATGTGAAAATTAGTAGGAATAACACATGTTTACCATGCACCCACCCCCCGCTTTTTTAGCCATCTGTGCATTGCCCGTATGTGCTATAGGGTTTTTGACTGGGGCTCCAGCAAATGCCATTAAAAAAGAGTTTACCGCACTGGTGGTGTAGACATGGCTTGGCCCACGTGTTGGATGGTGAACACAAGACTGGAGTCAGGCAGTGGGCAAAGAGAGTGGCAAACGTCTGTGGTGGGCACACTGCATTTTTTATCCCATGGTTATCTCTGATCTAACAGGCATGGCTGGTTTTGCACTGTGAAAACCTACACAACCTGTTGGACCAAGTATGACAGTGGGACCAAAGAAATGGGTATGTGGCCCACTGACTGTGGCCAATTCCGTTCCACCTCCACATTCCTTAAAAGCAATTAAGAGCCTGTCTCCAGCCGTAAAGGATGCTCTTGGTCACGAGGGCACCATGATGGAGCACAAGCGGGACGTGGCTGGTTTTAGTGGCTGGTGCGTGTTGGAGATTTTCTTTGTTGGGGGAAGGTGTTTTGTGTTAATTTGTATATAATGAGTAAAATCGCTCTCTTCGTGTGGCTGAAAAATTAAGCAAAGTAATATCTGACTTGGGTCACTTCCTGTTTGATGCATTTCTTTCTAGCATCCAAGACCTCAAAGAGAGAATACGGCAACGAACAAACTTGCCACTGGGCCCCAGTATCGATACCCACGGCGAAACTTTCCTCTCCCAGGATGTCGTAGTTAATCTCTTACAAGAAACAAAGCAAGCTTTTGAAAGGTGTCACAGGGTGTGTAATTTACTTATTTATTTATTTGGGTATTTTTATCCCATCCAAATACTACACGTCTCTGGATGGCTTACAAACAGAACACCCAATAAATGCATATAATAGCCTATAATAATCCATAATAATCTACTACTGAGAATCAAACAGAAAATATTTAAACTTTAAAATTACAGGAAAATAAAAAGGTCTTGACCTGGCGCCAAAAAGCATGTAATGTCGGCGCCAGGCGGACCTCTCTGGGGAGCGCATTCCATAGCCAGGGCGCCACTGCAGAGAAGGCCCTCCTCCGGGTATACTAGTATGCGCACAGATGCATGCGCAAGGGGACACAGTTGTATCGCGTGCTTTATTTTGGAGGGGTTTTTTTTTTGGTTGTGTAAATTCTTACATGTTTCATCACCTGTTTTTCGCTTTACTTGTAAGCTGCTTTGTGAACTGAGTTTTAGTAGACAAATATTTCAAATTTTGCAAAACAGTCATTTGTTTTAGGGGTGTTTCTGTGGTATGGTTGTGTCCCCGTTCCCCAGCTTTATGGACTTGCATTTAAACTGAATGCAAGAGCTTCCAGAAGTCAAGAGTTCAAGTACTCTAGCCTTTTAAACAGGCTTTTGATAGCATTTTCAGAAGTTGTTAAAGGAAAGACTGAGAGTATGGGTTCTGGAAAGAAGGAAGTGCACAGCAGGATGAACCGGAATGAATTTCTTAGACATTTTTGATCAGGTTTTACCCAATTTGCATCTTTTGGATAGAGCATGGACTCAGATGCAATCTGCAAACTCCATACAGTTCTGAGCTTGCAGCGCGCAGAGGCAATTAACGGCATGTATAAATTTGAAAAATGCGCATGAAAGAATGCATACTTTTGAAAAATGCACATAAATATTCTTTAATTAATGGGAGAAAATGTGCATATGTCAAAAGGTGTGCATGCTTGGAAAACATGCATGAAAATTTGCATGGATTATGATGCAAAATGAAAAAATAAACCCTCAGTTTGATGCAGATGCAACGTGGAATGAGCAATGAGATCAAATGCAGAACTTATCAGCAACCTGGGTTTCTGCTGATTGCATATCCTTAGTGCAAAGGTGTTAAAGAGATGGGCAAGAGGAAGGGTGGGGAATATTTTGTTAGAGGTTATGCCTCTAGAGGTTAGAGGCAGGGAGCTGCCCAAGGCTTTTAGGAGAACTGGAATTTTTGCATCTTAATAAATGCATCCCACATGGGTCAAGCATTTCCAGTCCTGTCAAGGACGGGATTTTTTTTTTTCATAAATAAAATTTGGGGAACTCAAGATACAAACAAGAATGTGCTGCTTTATGATGCTCTACACAGTTATACCAGCATTATGGAAACCATGCACAGCAGGATCTGAAACAGGTTGCATAGAATTCTTCGTAACTTCAAGTGCTAACAAATGCTTTTCACTTTTAAAGCTTTCCGATCCATCTGATTTGCCGAAGAATGCCTTCAGAATATTCTCTTTGCTCGTAGAATTCTTGTGCATGGAGCACATTGATTATGCGCTGGAAACGGGGCTGGCTGGTAAGTGCATGCCTTTTTTCCATGCGCATGAACTAGCCAGTGCATGCTCATTTCTTGAAATTAATTCCTGATAGTAAGAGCATAACGACATAACTGTACATCTTGGAATGAATGTAAAAGAACATTTAGTGTGAAGCCGCATGATATTCTAATGCAGTTTATTTAATTTATAACCTACCCTTTTTATTGGACCTCAAGCAAATGATAACCATATAAACCTTACCAAATCCGCAAGCACCCTTCTTAAAACTGCTGATACATGTATCATAAGGGTAGTAGAAAGGACATGGGGAATTATAGACAGGTTAGCCTTACGTCCATTGTAGGAAAAACAATGGAAAGGCTCATAATAGAGAGAGATCTAGTGATGCTAGATAGGGAAGGGAGGCTGACAGCCACACAACACGGCTTCCGCAAAAACAGGTCCTGCCAGACAAACCTTGTGGAATTCTATGACACGGTTTTGCGATGGCTAGATGGAGGGGATGCAGTGGATGTGGTATACCTGGATTTCAGCAAGGCCTTTGACAAAGTGCCCCATGATATCCTGGTGGAGAAACAGGAGTTTTGGGATACACCAAAGCACTGTCCAGTGGATTAGGGCATGGTTGACTGACCGAAAGCAGAAGGTAACCATTAGCGGGGAATCATTGGGATGGCGGCCAGTGACAAGCGGGGTCCCCCAGGGCTCTGTCCTGGGGCTGATCCTGTTTAATCTTTTCATTAACGACATGGAAGAAGGGGTGAACAGTCTGCTGATCAAATTCGCAGATGACCCTAAAACTGGAGCAGTGGCCACAACTGAGGAGCAGGTACTCCAGATCCAGAAGGATCTGGACAGACTATGGAAGTGGGCAGGAGACAACAGGATGGCATTCAATGTGGATAAGTGCAAGGTCTTGCACTTGAGGCATAGGAATAGCTGTCATAAGTACAGGTTAGGTGACAAGTGGCTGGAGAGCAGCACTTGTGAAAGGGACCTCGGGGTGCTGGTTGACTGCAGGCTGAACATGAGCCAGCAGGGTGATGCGGTGGTCAAGAGGGCAAATGCCACCCTTGGTTGCATAGCCAGAAGTGTGGCTTCCAGATCGAGAGAGTTGTTGCTGCCACTCTATACGACTCTGGTGCACCCGCAACTGGAGTATTGTGCTCAGTTTTGGGCCCCTCATTACAGGGAGGATACAGCCAGGTTGGAGTCAGTGCAGCGAAGGGCCACAAGGTTGGTGGCCGGTTTGCAGGGGATGCCGTATGAGGCGAGACTGAGGGAACTGGGTCTCTTCAGCCTGGAGAAGAGGAGACTCAGAGGGGAGCTGTTGGTGACATACAGGTATGTGAGGGGATGTCACATAGAGATGGGTAGAGACCTGTTCTCCCCTGCAGAGGAAGGCAGAACACACTCCAATGGAGCAAAGCTCAGGGAGCCAAGGTTTTGTTTGGATGCCAGGAAGCACTTCCTGACAGTCAGGACCCTGAGGGTGTGGAATGGGCTTCCACGAGAGGTCGTTGAGGCCCAATCAGTGCGGGTGCCCAAGTATAGGCTGGACATGCACATGGTGGGCATGTTGTGAGCGGAACCGGCTGGAACCGGGGGTCAGACTGGATGACCTGGGAGACCCCTTCTGACTTGCTCTGTTTCTATGTTTCTATATACATATTTTATTTATATACCATGCTGAAGGAATAAACTAGGCCATTTCCATGCCTGACATATTTTTAGAAGGAGTTAAAAAAGCAGAAGTACCACCGATAGTGCATCTACTTTATATGTTTTATATAGATTTGACATTTTGAAAATTAAAAATGTTAAGGCATTGGATAAAATTAAAAGTTCTTTAACTATCTTTATATAACATTTTAAATAGATTTTAAACGTTGAAATGTATAAAATACCAACTTCAGTCACAAATAGGAGTATATTGTATAATTTAAAAAATGATTTTAGAGCTGTGAAATTTTCTAAGATTTTAAGAACGTTTTTCTTGATCCTATATATATTTGAATTGGGTGAGCTATTGGTGATCATTTTGCTTGTCTTGAGGACTGTATTATGTGCATCACCTGCATATTGGTTAAAAAGAGTGAAGCAAAACTGTATACGTATAGCCTGAAGTTAATTTTCTTGTGAGTTTGCTCAAGCTTGCTGATGCTAGTTGGGTGGAAAGTTTTCTTAGCCCCATTCAGATACAGGCAGCCTCTGGGTTATGCACAAGTTCTGTTCCTGCGAAAATGGAAATTTGTCTTCAAATTGAATGTGTATGTAATCTGGATCACGAATCAGCCAGCCCTCCACATTCATGAGCGACAGGGGAGCAGGACTCCCCCCCCCAAAAAAAGTGGATAAAGCACAAATACCTCTAGCCCCTCCACCCGAACTCACCCGGCCTCCTCTTTGCAGCAAGGAGACGCTGGAGGGTTTCCCTCTCTGGATGGGTGGGGCAGAAAGGCATGCCTTGGAGGCCTCCCTCTCTACTCTTTCACTTCCTCCCTCTCTGTGGGGATGACGGTTTTCCACAATAATGTTTCAAAATCAATAGGCTCTACAGCATTTCACCGGTAAGCGCACGTTATTCTGACCCTGGGGGTTAATAACTCTAGGGTGCCTGCATTTTTTTCTCTGTGATTTTTTTGCCTCTAGGCATTCCTTCATCAGATGCCAAGAACGCAAACCTTTATTTCCTGGACGTTGTGAACCAGGCTAATACCATTTTTCATCTCTTTGACAAGCAGTTCAATGACCATCTGATGCCGCTGGTTAGGTAGGTGGTTCGCCTTTAAGTTGAGAAGCCATGTGGAATTTGCCTCCGTACCCCAAAATATTCTTTCACTGCAGGAAAAGGGTTTATCATTCCACGAGTTAGGCCATAGAAAATATGCCGAACAAGCCTCTGTACTGTTGTAAAGATGCACCGGGACACTTTCTTGCATCTTGTGGGCTTGGCCTTGGCACGTGAAGGCTGTGCTTCATGGCATGCGCATCAAGCTCTCATTTTCTGGCAGTCGTCTCCAAGATTTTGCCACGAAAGCCTGAACCAGCAAGAGTGATTATGCTCTTTTCCTACACAAACTTAAGTAGCAAGCAACTGGAGCACTGACTGGAAACAGGCAAGAATTCTGCGGTGGCTTTGGCGGATGGCTTGGAGACTTGTACCATGGTATTTCTTGCTCCCTGACCTACCAAAAATTCCATAATGACTTGTGAGCATCCCTCTTGAGGGCTGGGAACTTGCTCCTGTGTTCCAGTCAAAGTTAGTTGACTTCCTGGTGGAGATTTCCCATATTCTGAAAGCGCTGCCTTGGAATGCGATTAGGCACACGCCCGGAGAGTAGAGCTGCCCATGGCAACGGGTTGGGAAGGCTGAGTGGTGCCTCTGGGGCCAGAGGCAGCTTGCTGGGGAGGTGCAGCAGGGCAGAGTCCTCCTCTTCGGCTTCCCAGAGGCAGCCGGCTGGTCCCTCGAGTCCTCCCTGCCCCCTGCAGCTTCCCTCTTTCACAGCGGTTGGACTGAGCATGCAGAGAAGAGCATAGAGGCCGCCTGGGGGAGGATGAGCCGGGAAGCGGGCGCTCAGAGTCCAGCAGGAGCTAACGGCATCCCTTCCCATTCTTTCCCGCAGCTCTTCGCCTAAACTCTCGGAATGCCTGCAGAAGAAGAAGGACATCTCGGAGCAAATGGAGGTGAAGCTGGACCTGGGCATAGACAGGCAAGTGAGGGGCTCGTGGGCAGCTCTCCTGCATGGCTCTGGCAGGTGGCACCCCGTGGCCAGGGACTGTTTCCAGGCTGCGGATTTGCCGAATGTAAAACGCGCAGTGAACTTTAAAGAGATGCGGGTCCGATCTAGTGGCCCGCCACGTCTGGAAGGCCATGGGAATGGGCGTTTGATAGCGCCTCGCTCCAAGCGAGCGGTTGCTCCGGTGGGAGGTCGCGAGGGTGGCGTTTTGCAGGGCTCGAAATGCTCCTTCTTACACCGCCCCCGGTTCTTTCACTCCGAAGGACGCTGAACTGCGTGCTGGGGCAGATGAGGCACATCTTGACGGCAGAACAAAAGAAGACGGATTTCAAACCCGAAGACGAGAACAACGTCCTCATTCAATACACTAACGTGAGTAGCTGTATATAGACCAGCCAGGGACAAGGGGCACAGCGTGCTCCGGGGCTGCCGCTGGCGCACTTCCCTGCAGGCGCCGGCTCTGCTCAGAACCTGCGTTCGATGGCGTGTGCGTCTCCCTTGATGGTCACTTGTCGCCCACCCTTCCAGCAGTTCTGCTGCACTTCCTTTGTGCCGTTTCAGCCAGGAAGAACGCCCGTTGCTTCTCGACGCTTGGCGTTTTGAGTTGCGGTGCTCCTGTTGTGCGCTGTAAAAGCGGGTCGTGGTTCCAGGGCGGCCTTGCAGATACTTTAGCCCCTCTGCGATAAGGGCCGCGTTGTCTCTCATGCGCTAAGCCTTATTATTTGTTGCTGTGATCGAGCGTTTATACAGCCGCCGCTGCCAGACCACCCTGTGGAGCAACTCTCGCCTCGCAGTGATCAATCACCTGCTGCAGAAATGCGATGGCAGAAATGTGCCCCATGTTCTTAGGCCGAGAGCGATGGCAGAAACGTGCCCCCTATTCTTAGGCCGAGAAAAGTGTCCCCCCGGCCTTTGCCTCCTCCCCACCCCCGCCCCTCCGTGGGTGCCCTAGCAGCTTCGCCACGGCGTTCCAAACTCCTGGCAATCTCCCCCAAGGAGCCCCCTGTGGCTGGCCCTTTCTCAAACTCTGCTACCAGCAAGGAACGCACTTCCTGTCGCACGTGGCGGTGGGATGTGTCAGTGTGTGTGCAGTGTGGCCCCCACCACTGTGTCAGCCATTCCAGCAACCCTTGGAGGGGTTGTGTATCCCTGGCACAGGCGGGGGCAGCGGCTGCTTTGTACAGGCACATGGCTGGACATCCCGAACGAACCCTGCCCAAATTGCCCGGAAGCGGTTTTCAAGCAGCGGCTTGCGGTTGCCTTCCTGTGCAAAGGCGACACCAGTCGTGTGCTACAAGGAGCAAGTGCCTAAGAAGCATTCGGCATCCAGAAGGGCCTTTGGAGCCGCCAGTGTGTGGCCTGCACATTTATTTCTTCAGCATACTTAGCTGGGGTTACAATCCACTGATGCCCGTGGGAGTTCCGTGCAGGCAATCGGAATACGTAATGGGATGCCAGAGTGCTTTTTTAAATTATAGGAGAGAGGATACTGGCCAGGTGAAATTTCTGTTGCACCTGTGACTTACTCTGTGTGTGAGTATTCCAGCTTGCACGGGAATTCATCTGAGACTGAGGCTGGGTGGGGTCACATAGCCTTGGAAGGAAAATGAGTCTTGGCGGCTTCCTTTGCTGCGGCGAGTGGGAGCCAGCAACTTCTCTGCCTTTGCTTAGCGTGACCTCCAAACCTGGCCAAGCTGGTTTACAAACTTCTCTGAAATATTTTGGGATGATATGTAAGCCTCCAGAGCTGTCCAGCCCTGCCTGATTTGGAAGCCAGCACCCAGCAAGGGGAATTACACGAATTGTTCGGTAGCTTGCAGCGTGTCCACACGGGGAGGAAAGTGTGTGAGGTGCTGGCCTGGATGGGTCTTTCGACGGCTCCAGCAGTGCTTTCTTGAGGTCCTTATGTTAAGCCGCCACGGCTCACGTTCCCTTTGTGCCATGGGAACCTCCCCAGGCAGGGAAATCGATAGAACCCTCTACCCCGTGTCGAGCTCCACTGACAGAGGCTCTGTAAATTTTTGGAATGTCTCTGGAGCCAGAGACTGGACAGGATACACTTCAAATAGTTGCTAGATTGCCAATATTTTCCCCACTTCAAACAGACACGAAACAGTCATAAGTACAGCTTGCCATCTGTGGTCCTCTGTAATCAGTGAGGTTATTCCTTCTTTCCAACAAACTCTTGGTGTCGTACTGGTTTCTTTTTAGACCCCCCCCCCCATGCCCAGTGTTTTGTTTCTGGGGCCTTCAAGCTTGAGAAAGTCTGGACCTTCCCCTCTTACCTTTCAGGCCTGTGCCAAAGTCTGTGCCTACGTCAGAAAGCAAGTGGAAAAGATCAGGAAGTCCATGGACGGCAAGAATGTGGACAGCGTTCTGATGGAGTTTGGCGTCCGCTTCCACCGGCTCATCTACGAACACCTGCAGCAGTATTCCTACAGCTGCATGGGCGGCATGCTGGCCATTTGCGATGTGGCCGAGTACCGGAAGTGCGCCAAAGAGTTCAGGGTAAGCCGGAGTTGTGCCGGGCAGGGGCGGCGTGCGGCAGAGCCCCTGGGCGGGCGCTAGAGCAGGCAGCCTTTCGAAGCGGTGGTCTTGCCGTTTGAGTGACCTCTCTTCCAGGTTTGTGGCATTGGCAAACAAGAAGAAAAAGCCCCTGTGCTTTCTCTGTCTGTGATCTCCAGGGTGGTCTCCGGAGCGTCATCTGATGTTTACTCCCGATTTTCCCTTCTTTCTCCACCTGCCTGCAGATAGCGCTGGTACTGCAGCTTTTTGACACGCTGCACTCCCTCTGCAACCTTCTTGTCGTCGCTCCAGACAACCTGAAGCAGGTCTGCTCGGGGGAGCAGCTGGCCATCCTGGAGAAGAACATCCTCCACTCCTTCGTGCAACTCCGCCTGGACTACCGATCCGCCCGCCTCGGCCGCCACTTCAGCTGAGCGGGTGGAAGATGGGGAGGCCAGCATCGCAGCGCGCGACGCAGCACAGTGGCGGCGGCTTTCGAGGAGGAGACGAGATGAGCTGGGCCGGGTGGCTCGGGGCAAAACGAGCAGCCATCCCTTAAAACTGAGCCTTTCCGTTCTCCTCATCCGCCCTGTGAAACCGACGGTGTCTGGAGATGGGGGTTCTGCCAGAGCTCTTCCTGTTGTCCATGACGATACTGTGCTGCCGCTTCCAGTTTTTCTCCCAACAGAATGACTTGCGTTTCGGTATTTCCCGTTGTAAACAGCATGGGTTCATGCTACCCGATTTTTTTTTTCCTTTCCCCACACCACAAACTCCACACTTGACAGCCCCTCCGTAGTAGAAGGCAGAGGGAAATGACCCTTTGATTCTGCCCTTGTGTGGATGGGTGTTCCTTAAATGGCTTCGTGCTTTTGCCACATATAAACATTTACTCTGATTAAACTTGGAATCCGCTGTGGTTGAGAAGGATCAGGAATAGTGTTCCCTGGAGAGAGAAATGTTGCTTTTGACGAGGTGGGGTGTGGCAGCCTCTCACTGAGAGCCCGCGTGGTGTGTCCCAGTGTTGGACTGGGAACCTGGGACTTGGGGCCAGTCTCTCCCTCTCAGCCTAACCTGCTTCACAGGGTGGTGGTTGTGAGGATGTAATGGGGCTGGGTAAGTCACCTGGCGTTCCTCGCAACAGGAAAAAAGGTGGGGTATAAATGCAGAATGGGAATAATGTAGCGACGATGGTAGCGCCCCTCTTTAACCGCAGCTGGCTTTCGGGGCATCCTCTGCCCTCTGCTTCCCGTGCCCAGTCTGTTCTCACCTGGTCCTGCAGAACAGCCAGCTTTTTTTCCATTCCTGCCAGTTCCGTGCTTGTGATGGCTTTTGCATCCTCCTGGCAGAGCATGGCGATGGTGTACTGGGCATACTGGGATGCCGGGTATGGGAACTGCATGTAGGGTAGCCCCCTCTCTCCTGACGGGACTCCTCATGACACCTGCGTAATAGGCGGCAACTCAGCAGTCGGCCAGCGTGCCGACGCGCCACGTTGATGGGACTGGGAAAAACGTCACGCGCCCCGTTTGTGCCCGTTAGGTGGCCGTTGGAAGAGCAGGGGCAGATGGGGTGCCGTGGAGTTGGGGTGCCCTTCCTGAGGTCAGTGATAATGCCTTTAAGATCCTCTCTTGCTGGCAGAACCTCTTTTCCTGTTCCCTGCCATGCCAGTGCAGAGCAGGCTGGGATGTAGCCTCCAGATGCCGTACTGAGGAATCCTGTGCGCACATTTACACCAAGCCGCCTCCCTGGAATGCCTTTTCCAGCTCAATAGACGAAGGGTTAGCCACTTCTGTTTTCGAAATGACACAAAGCTTGTTTTTCTTTGTGCTTTGAGAGGACAGAACAGTCACATGTGAAAATACATCGGAGAAATATCTGCAGCCTTCCCAAACCTGGGGCACTCCAGAAGTTCTGGACTTGCAATCCCAGGATTCCTGATCTGGGGCTGATGGGAGTTGTCATCCAGATGTTTTGGACTTCATCAGATTGGGGAGAGTTGATGTGGGCAGCACGGTGGTGGTATGAATGGCAAGCTACTCCTAATTTACAGTCCAGTCTTGTAGTTGTTTACTAAAGAGTAAGTCTCACTGAGTTCCAAGGGTGCAGCTTCTGAGTAGACCTGCCTAGGATCACGCTGTAAGCTCAGTGTTGTACTTACATTTTTAAGAGCTGCCTGTGATTCAGATATTCCGAGGCATGTCTTTGATGAGTTCTTGTGCATCATGGGTTAGAAATGGGTCCCTTCTCAGCTCCGTGGTGGGATTGAGATGGTGTTGGGCAGGTAGACCTTGGCAACGGGGGGAGCGGGAAAACCATGGATCGTCTTGAGAATGCAAAACCACAAACCGATGTCGAGGTGGCTCCAGCAGGGGATAAGCTCAAATGGAACTGAAGCAGTTTAGGGAGAGAGGAAATGTTCCCCACGGCCAAGATCCAAGCGGTGCTCCTGCTAAGGTGCACCACTTAACCCTGCTTGGGCTGTCCCCACGGAGAACGCGGCTCTGCGTGTCTCCCACGGGGTGTTGTCTGGCTCTGCTCGAGCGGGCAGGCCAACGTTGACGTTTCAGCCTCCAAGAATCCTGCAAGTTTGAAGTGTCGACAGGCCCAGCAAGTCCTGCCCGATTGATCCGGTGAAGGTTTCGTTTTTGCTTCCGTTAAAAAGAAAATGAGCACAGTGTTAGGGTGATAAACCAGAGAGGGGAGAAGCGTGCCAAGCTGCCTCGAGCATTCTGGGAAAGGAGCTTTATTCGGATGCATCGCTCTCTTCGTTGGCCATGGCAGAGGCAGAAAGGGCTCTGTGGGCACCGAAGGAGCGCAGAGTTGCGCAGCTGCCACTTTCTGATGCTGTGATGTCCATTCCAAGCATTCCTCTCTGATGCCTCTGAATCTCGGAGCCAGCAGTTTAAAGCAGTGGCTGGCTTGCCCCTATCCCTTTTCGCTTTTTCTTTTTTTTAAAGGAGGGGGGGCGGCGGGGAGAAGTTAGTTCGTAGAGATTCCGGAATCACAAGCAAGAAATGTTGGGCATCGTTGCAAGTTGGCAAATGGCCCCTGAAGAATGCTCCCATAAGGTGGTACCTTTTCTTTCCCCTGCTGCCTCACTCTGCCTCCCGGCAGGGCTGGCCCTGCCTCCCCGAGTGGAAAAACCAGCCATTCCTGCTGAAATTTGGCACCCTGATGGTTTCAAAAAGGGTGTATCTTGAAGCAAAGCGGGCCCTGATGCGCCATACCAAACTTCCAGGTTAGGCCTTTTACCCCCATGGCCAAATTCCCAAGCCCTGATGAGGCAGGGATGCGATTTGCTTGCTTGCTAGTCGTGCAGTCGCGTCTGGCCCGTCGCGCCCCATGGACAACACTCCCCCAGGCCTTCCTGTCCTCCACCATCCCCGGAGTCCACCCAAGCCCACACCCACCGCCCCAGTGACCCCATTCAGCCACCTCATCCTCTGCCGTCCCCTCCTGCTGCTGTCAATTGTTCAGGCCCTCTCATCCTGGACGTTGCCCGGTCGGTCGTGCTGAAAAGGGTGCCCAGAACTGCCCAGCCGTACTGTTGCCTGGGGAAGCCATTGCTCCAGAGCAAGGCAGGAAGGCCCCTGACGATCCTGGCACCCCCAGGCAGAGCTTGGAAATCCTGCCTGGATCCCGGGAGAGCCAGTGTGGACGGGCCTGGACTGCAGGGGCCGAGGTTGCAGTCCCATACCTGTTAAGACGGAATAGGCCTCACCGTGTCCAGTATCTCCCCACTCCCAAGTGGGCTAGTGCACTATTATTATTCAGTTTTTTGCATCACTCACATCTCGCCCTCTGTGACTGAGCTCCAGGGAGAAGGTCCGAATCCCGGGACACCAGGACTCATCGCAAGACCAGGGACCCCTCGGCAGATGCAACTGACCGGCCAACTTTCGTTTTTCCACTTCGGTGCCTTCCCAGTGATGGAACACGGACCACCCTTCCCCACTTGAACGAACAAATGATTTGGAAAATAAAATGTGGATTTCAGGGTGGTGGGTCGTTTCCACTGCTGTGCATTTCCGTGTATTATAGCTATTATGGCATGCAATTTAGGAAAATATTTCCAGTAGCACCTCAATATAATTTAAATACTATCGACAACTAAATTTTTAAAATGGGCCTTTTCTGTTCAGGTAATGAGTTAAAAGTGTTGCTTTTCTAAGGTTCCCTCTTCCAACGTTGGCATTTAATGAGTGGCAATCCAGAGGGGGGCGTGCGTAATTATATGCCTTCCAATTGGTTAAAATAGGAAATTGCCAATCGGGTGGAAAATAACTGTATGTGGGCTCCCCCTCCCTGCCCCATTTACAAGTCCTATAATTTTTTTTAAGCACAACTTTGTGTTTGGCTTGCCTTGTGGCAGAAGGACTAATAATAATGAAAGAGGGAGATGGTGGGAAGGACACTGAGTAGCTACTACTCCACCGTGCAACTTGAACAAAATATATATTGTAAAGGAAACTGGAGGAGGACTGAAAGGAAAAAAAGAAAGATATATTTAAATGCTTAAAAACAGGCTGACGGGGAGCCATAAATGGGGAAGGCAGCCGTAACAGTTTAAGAGCACAGTGGAAGCACTTTGATGGCTCTTTTGTCGCCTTCGACACACAGGCGACAAAATTCTACTTTCTGCAGCCCTGGGGTGGAGGGAATGCGTTGCAGATTTCAGTGTCGTTTCTGCGCGACCTGATCTCCTCTGGGTATTGCTGGTGTTCCGTTTGTGACGTGCCCGTGTCGGCCAGCAGCTGCGATATCACCAACCCGCCTCTTCTTAATGCTCAGGTCAGGTAAAGGGTTCAGGGCAAAATTCAACAAGACTCTTCCATCCTGGGCGAAGCTCGGACGCCCCATGACGTTATTATGAAGCAGTACTTGAGTGCTGCTGGGACAACCTGGAGCAAGCAGAAATGCTCTTTTCTGGAAGAGGTGGGCTTTTGGAAGAGCCCCTGATCTGCCTCCTTCCAGAAACTGCCAGTTTTGCTCACTTGGGCCTTCAAATGCGTCATTCTTGTTTAAAGATAGAAACATAGAAACAGAGCGAGACAGAAGGGGCCTCCTGGGCCATCTAGTCTGACCTCCGGCACCAGCTGGCTCCACTCACGACATGCCCACCATGTGCACGTCCAGCCTATCCTTGAACACCCTCACCGATGTGAGGGGCCTCAACCACCTCCCGGGGAAGCCCATTCCACACCCTCGGGGTCCCGACTGTCAGGAAGTGCTTCCTGGCACCCAAATTGAGCCTTGGTTCTCTGAGCTTTGCTCCGTTGGAGCGCGTCCTGCCTTCCTCTGCAGGGGAGAACAGGCCTCTACCCACCTCCATGTGACACCCCCTCACGTACCTGCATGTTACCAACAGATCCCCTCTGAGTCTCCTCTTCTCCAGGCTGAAGAGACCCAGTTCCCTCAGTCTCGCCTCATACGGCATCCCCTCCAAACCGGCCACCAACCTTGTGGCCCTTCGCTGCACTGACTCCAACCTGGCTGTATCCTTCCTGTAATGAGGGGCCCAGAACTGAGCACAATACTCCAGTTGCGGGCGCACCAGAGGCGCATAGAGTGGCGGTAATGTATCGCTGTCAATGTATCGCTGAATTCCATTCCCACCTCCTGGAAGCTGTCCTTCGGCCACCACACATGGATGATACAGGAGCCCTTGGTGGCTAAGAGACTCATACCACGGGGATGGAAAGACTTTCAGTCAGCAATGGGCCGAAGACCTCGCAGCCCTGGCGTCCTAGGAGAGAACAGACTCCTTTCACCTCATTCCGACATTTGGTCCACCTGCCTCAACCTATATCAGTGATGTGGAACAGAAACTTTGGATATATATTTCCATAGCTGTAAGCATACATACATATTATTAATACTTCTTTCAAGACCAGTTCGAC